GCTCTTATAGACCAGGCTGGTCTCACAGAGATCCACCTGCCTCTGCCTCCCAAGTGCTGGGATTAAAGGCATGTGCCACCACCGCCTGGCTAGTACATATGTTTTTAAAAAGAGGTAATGAGTGTCCCTTTTGAACTATATATTTACCCAAGAATAAGAAATACTATAAATGATGACTTAATTGAGCTACAATCTACAATCCACACATCATAGGATGCAGCCTTTGAAGGGTAAAAGCTAATGGCTTTTAGTAAATCCACATTATGTACAATCCTCAACACAATCCATTTCTGAACATTCTTACCTACCCTGAAAGAAATCCCCTTTCCACTAGCAGTCATGCCCCAGTGTTCTTCCTGCCCCTCCCGTGTCCTTGATAATGGCCAATTGAATTTCAGTTACTATAAAATGGTCTTTATAGATATTTCTTGCAAAATCAAGAGCAAGTGTTGATATATTTCTTGGTCTTTTGTGTTTGGTTCTTTCACTTAGAGTGGTGTTCATATGTGTTGGAGCATATACCAGTACTTCATTTACTTTTATGACCAGATAATAGTCTACTGTAGATTGCATGCACCTATTCATTAGATTCTAGACTCTGGGCAGTTTTAGTTTTTAGCTATTTTGCATATGTATACATATATATGCAGTAACATATATATATATTACTGCTATGAACACAGCATCCATGTTTTGTTGAATATATGTCTGCTTAGGATAGAACTGCTGTGTTATATTTATCCTGTGGAGGGATTGCTAAACAATTTTCAAAAGTTCATGCATTCACTGGGTGGTGGTGGTGCATGCCTTTAATCCCAGCATTTCATTTCTTTCTCTTTTTTTTGAGACAGAGTCTCCCTGTGTAGCCTCGGCTGTCCTGGAACTCACTATGGAGAGCAGGCTATCATATAACTCAGAAAGATCCTCCACCTCTGCCTCCCAAATGCTCCTGAGTGGGTCTAAAGGTATCCGCCACCACATCCGCCCCAGAGGGCATGGATTCTTGTGATTTTGTTCTTAGATGAGTAGTGGTGCCGAGCATCTTTCCACGGGCTCAATGGTACATCTTCTTTGGGAAAAGGTCTATTCCAGTCACGTGCCTCTTTGTAGGCTGAGTTGTTTTGTTGTTGCTGAGTTTAAGGAACTTTTCCTATAAACTTGAACTCAAAATCCTTCAGACGCCCCCTCCCCCCAGTGCTGGGATTGCTGGTGTACAACACCATAGCCAACTAATTAACAGGTTTTCTAGTAACCCAGACAAAAGATGATGATGGTCTAAACCAGAGTGGGACTGGGGGAGATGATGAAAACTGGTTACATTCTGAGCTAGTCAACAAGATTTGAGAAAATATTGAATACAGATTAAGAAAAACAGAGTCAAAGATGACTTGCTGGGACTTTTATCTGAGCAAGGAGGGACTTTCCCATTCTGAGGTGGAGAGGCCACAGATGGAGAAGGTTGAGGTGAGGACAGAGCTAGAGTTCATTCTGAGGCAAGTTAAGATGGATGCCTACCAAATCAAGGATATAGTTGAATGTACAAATCTGGAGATTGGACAAAAAGGTCTGAAACACTTGGGGAAGTCCAGGAAGATAAAGACTCAGTGTGGGCAGCTGCAGCAGTAAGTGTATATCCTCCTGGGGATTGAGGAAGTGTACCTCCATCTGAGAGTATACACCATGAACCACCCACAGAGAAGCTAAATAGACATTGCATCATCCGTGTTTGTGGGAGTGTCTTCCCTTCAGTCAGTCATGTGACTTGTCAGATGACACCTCGCTCACAACAGCACTTACATGCCTCCCTTCCTAGTCCTCTCCATCTTCCCACAGAACTCATCCACTATGCCTCCTGCAATCGTTATTTTTACTGGCTCAAAGGACATCACACCACTGTCTTATTAACCAAAACTACTCCTACCCTGCTTTGGTGTTCACCATGAGGACACAGCATCTTTTCTTAATGATGCATATTTTGCATATGAGTTAAGCAGTCACATAGGCCAAGTATATTTACAAATAACAACATAAGCATGGGAATGTTGACCAAATAAGACCCAAGTCTGTGCCAGGCAGGGGTTCAGCTAACCCTGTCCCCTTAATTGGCTCAGCTCACAAACGCGTTACACGTGTCTTCTTACTCTAGGCTCTCTAGGAGGGGAAAACCCTCCACGTCCTCCATCCCTCGTCTGTTTTCCTAACTTGGATTCTTTCATGGAGAGACTCCTGACCCAGGCTCAGCTTTGGCAAAGCTTTTTCCTTTGTCAGTTATGTTTTGTTTCATTCTGTCTTCTTTCCCAGTAATGTCTGTTCTGTAGAATGGTAACTGTTATGTCTGGTCTGCTAAGGTCTAGCTTACAAGCTATTCCAAATGTAAAGAGGTCTCCTTTGAGTCAGCGTGAGTGCCTTGCCCCTCCTGATATCTCTGGCACCAGACTTTAAGGTCAGAAATTTAGCTCTGAAGCTAGAATGGCTTTGATAATTGTGCACTCATTGGAATTGTCTTCAAAGTCTTTATGAGCTCTTTGGTACATATCCCCCAGCAGGGCAGAGCTTTGTCTTAGTTGACTTAGTTTTCTGCCAAGCTCTAATAGGCAGGCCATCCTTTTGCTTGATTTTGTAGACTTGTGGTTTTCTATGCCTTTTTCCCTCTTTCAAAATCTCCATCTTTCCATATGATACCCTTACAATCTGCTAATATTGTTTCTCTAAAACTACGCACATTTTGGATGTTGTATTTCATGGGGAGAGTCCACTAAGCCTGTAGGACACCAATAGGAAAATGACTTTATCTATTTTTTTATGTTTACCACCTTTTCTTCAGAATTGCAAGGGGACACCAGTCTTTGGGGTACAGTCCAAGAGTTCCCATGTTACTTGCCTATGATGGAAAGTTAATAGATAGTTTATGTATTTTGATTGATATAAAATGTCTACTTTGAAGTCATTCTCCAAATCTCCAAGACTTCAGATCATATGTGTTTAACTTTACATTTTATGTAATTATAGATTTGCAAAAGTTGCAAAGAAATGTTCATGAAGCTTCTGTACCCTGTCCACAACTTTCAACCATCCAACAATTATTGTACGTAACCCTAGAGCTTATCCAGGCACCATTTTGCCACACCTAGGCTCATATATTCGTGTGTGTGTGTGTGTGTGTGTGTGTGTGTGTGTGTGCTATGAGAGAGAGAGAGAGAGAGATTCTGATGCAAATTTGCCATGTTTGTACCCTTGTGTAACCGTGACCCTACTTAAGACACTGACCATCACTAAGGCTCATGACTCTTAATAACTACATCCATCTCCCCATTCCAAACTCCTGACAAATTACTAACCTGTTATTAGCTACACTACTCTGTTTTCAGCTCTATAATCTCATTATTTCAGCATTGTTACATAGATAACCCCCTTTTGTGGTACTGAGGATTCCACGTTTGATGAGTATTTAAATTATATCTGTAACCTTCTCTTTTTTACTTTTTAAAAAAATCTCATAAATTGACCACTCTGGGCTTGAACTTGCTCTGTAGCTCACGCACACATTTAATCTGTAATCCTCCTGCCTCAGCCTCCCAAGTGGTAACAATTACAGGACCAGACCCAGAAGTACATATTCTTTTGAAATTGACTTGTTTGGGGGTAGGTATGTGTGAGATATGTGCACGTGTATATGTATACTCATCTGTGTGGCAATGCATGAACATATGCTGACAAAGGCCAGAGAGTGATAGCGATGTCTTCTCATTTGTTCTCCATTTCATACATCAGGGTCTCTCGTTGAACCCAGAGCTCACTTATTCAGCTAGTTGGCTAGTCAGCTTGCTCTGAGGATGTTGTCTCTCTCTGCAATCACACAGATGGCTAAACCATCACCCCAGCCTGGGATTAACTTTAATCTAATTTCCTTGAGGTTCATCCAAATAATTGTATTTATTAATGGTTTGTTCTTTCTATTGCTGGGTGGTATTCAATGGTGTACATGTGACAGTTTTTTTTAATACTTGGTGATTTTTGTTGTTATTGTAAGGATTTTTACTGTTACAATGTTAAGGCTTGACTCAGTGGCCTTGTATATAATAAGTAAGGCTATAGGGCTTTTGTTTGCTTGTTTCGTTAGTTTGATACAGAGTCTCAAGTAGTCCAGACTGGTTTGGAACTAGCTTTGCAGATGGGCCTGGCCTTGAACTCCTGATTCTCCTGTGCACCATTAAGTCCAGCAAAGGCTACAGTTTTAACTTTCACACTCAGAAGTTCACACGCATGCGAATTTCTAAGACAAAGACCTCAGATCAAAGCCACTTAATTTTTAAGTAGAGACTGATCTACTTTTCAGGTTCAGCTTTGCTTTGAGATTCAATTATTGAAGCCCTAGACAGATATTCCACATTTATTCTTCCTAATCAGACAGGCACCCATCTACAATCCAGTGAAGTCAGATAAGCCTGGGTCAGATCCACTTCCTCACTTACTATCTGGGTAAACCTGAACATGTACTTAGCTGTATCCCCATAGGTCCCCATGGACAAAACAGAGGTAAGAATGTTTGGAACCAAAATGATTTTAAAAAGCTATAGTGCATAGTGTCTGGCACCCAGTTGTGAGTTAATGCTAGCTCTGTCCCCAGCCTGTGGCAAAAAAATAATCAAACGTTATTTCCATTTTTATGATATTGGAAGCTGTAACCTTAAATTGTATGGTGTTGGAAATTATAACTGACTTTAAAAATCCGAAGAAATGGGGCTGGAGAGATGACTCAGAGGTTAAGAGCACTGGCTGCTCCTGCAGGGGACCTGGGCACAGTTCCCTGCACCCACATGGTGGCTCCCAACCACCTCTAACTCCAGTTCTAGGGGATCTGACATCCTCTTCTGGGCTCCTCAGATACATATATATACACACAGCAAGCACTCACACACTTAAAATAAAAACAAATCTTTTTTCAATCAAAAAAATATGCTTTTGATTAATATTTTAACTGAATGGGTTATCTTTTTAAATTATTTTAAAATTTATTTATTCTGGGCGCACGTGTTGGAGTCAGCATACATGCTATAGCACAGGCTGGTTCCTGTCTACCATGTAGGTTCCCAGGATGGAACTCAAATTGCCAGGCTTGGCAGCAGGTACGTTCATCTGCTGAGCCATCTTGCTGGTCCTGAGCAGGTCACTTTTATAGCCTTGTGACAAGGTGTAGCATCTCTTATGAAAGCTAATTTCCCTTTCCTTCTCTCAATGATATTGTGGAAATGATCTCTGTGACTCTTAGAAGCAGAAACAAACTGCTGTCTCTCCACTGTGCTCTGTTTTCTCTTTCTTCTAGGTCAGTGAACAACTTCCTGATGACCGGCCCAAAGGTAAGGAGAAAGTCTTCAATGGACTCAGATGTCACTAGTTTTAACTTGTTGGCTGAAGATAACACATGGTGATTTCATTATATCTACAACTCTTATTATGCTGTTAAATAGCACAAATGGGGACTTGCCCAAAGCCACGCAGCAAACTCTCAGAGTTCAGATGAAAACTTGGGTGTATCATTACTAAATTTATGGATGGAATCTCCAGAGCCAGAAAAGTGACCATCTTTGACAGGTGCAGTGTCCCCTTTAACGTTCAGGAACTGCACTACATGGCTTCTACAGGGAAGGTGTTCCCAAAAATACCATCCTTAGCTGGTAGTGAAGTACAAGCACATAATACTTATTAATAGTTTGTTCTTTCTATTGCTGAGTGGTATTCCATGGTGTGGATATGACAGTTTGGATTTTCTTTAATACTTGGTGATTTTTGTTGTTATTGCAAGGATTTTTACTGTTACAATGTTAAGGCTTGACCCAGTGGCCTTGTATATGATTAGTAAGGCTATAGGGCTTTTGTTTGCTTGTTTTGTTAGTTTGATACAGAGTCTCAAGTAGTGTAGACTACTATTAATTAATTAATTAACTGTGTGAATGGGGCTCATTTTGGAGAAATTATTTAGTGTAATGAGTAGACTGGTGGGAACCAGGGTTTGGTAGAAACCAGATTCCACTCCCCTTTTGCTTTCTGCTGACTGTGAGGCTCTGGGCAAAGGTTTCTTGACCTACACAATGGTCCCTACCCACAGGGACACTGGCACCGTTAAATGAGATAGCATATTTAGACTGCTTTCTCACGCCACATTTTAGAAAGTTGGGAGGATAGAGTGTAAGAGAGTTGCTTGGGGCAAATGGCTGCTAAGTTGAGGCTAAATTTTGAGCCCATATTCCTGTAGGCTTACCTCGTCTACTCTAGCAGTGTGGCAGCTGGTGCCCAGAGTGGTATTGAAGAATGTAAGTACCAGTTTGCTTGGGACCGCTGGAATTGTCCCGAGAGAGCTCTGCAGCTGTCCAGCCATGGTGGACTTCGCAGTGGTAAGGAAAGCCCTGACCTCTGCTCCAGGAACCCCTGGTCACAGTTTGGGCCCCCTCCTCCTCTACATCTTTAATTTCACCCAGCCTCTTTGCTCAGGACATCACTCTCTTCTAAGATCTTCTCTTTACCATCTCCGGTCCTGGGCTGCCCTTGGCTGCCCAGTTGGCCAAAGGCTTTGTCACAATCCAAGCAATACCAAGAGGTAGGTTAGGGTCATAAATCTTCATACTGCTTAGTCTCTCCTTTCAGCAGCTTAGAGAGAGGTGCTGAGCCTGGAGACTCTTGGAGACCAGTTGCCATAGAGAAGATAAACAATAGTGAGAAGGCAGTCCATTGGAGGAGCTTTTTAAAACTGACAGCATGCTTTTTTAGAATTTCCAGGAGTACATGAGGTGGGGTCTTTGCCTTCAGAGTCATCTCCACAGGTTCTTTCCTACCTAAATCTTTTATGAGCATGTCATCAGAAGTCTAGTCAACCACTCACAAAATGTGTCACTTGAAAAGGGGGGAGGGAAGGAGGCTAGGGCTGGGAACGGGACCCTAAGGGGGTAACAGAAACAGGACAGAGCGGAAGGGTGTGTGTGATGAAGGCATTAGGGGAAAGCAGCATTAGCATCCCTTTGGGCTGCAGCCTCTCCTAACCCTTCGGCTCCCCCAGCTAACCGGGAGACAGCGTTTGTACATGCCATCAGTTCTGCTGGAGTCATGTATACCCTGACCAGAAACTGCAGCCTTGGAGACTTTGACAACTGTGGTTGTGATGACTCCCGAAACGGACAACTGGGTGAGTAGAAATGCGGGAATGAGGAGCTCAGGCAGGCAGGCAGGCGGGAAGTTCACTTCCATAGCAAAAGCATGGTGGGAACTTGGAGGAATAAAACTGGGTTCTTCCAAACATGAGGGAAATAATGCTGAAGTGGGGTGACCCAGTGCCAGCCCACACACTGCAGTGACAACCCTGTTCCAACTCACACACACTACAGTGACAACCCTGTTCCAGCCCACACACTACAGTGACAACCCTGCCCGAATAGAGTTTAAGGTCCTGTTCTCCTCCCCAAATTTCCTTAACTTAAACACAATAATAACGGACTGGCATGCAGACTCAATCATTCATCCCTTCCAGGGGGACTTCCTTTCCTGCTGCCTTGTCCTGTGCTTGTCCCTCGTCCCACACTCTCCCAGCGCTTCCCCACCCTCTAAGCCCTATCACTCAACTCCTCTGTCAGCTCAAAGGCCGAACTCTTGTCCCTTCCCAACTTCAACCATCTGCCCGCCAGACACGTGCACCCTTCTATAGAGGAGCAAGCAGGCAGAGTCCACGTGACAGTCAGTTATGTCATGAAGGCCTGAGCAGGGGATTGGCTCTGGCTGAAAGAGGACAGAAAAGGTGGCAAAAGCAAATTAAGATGGGAACCAATCCAGAAAGAGTCCTGACCCAGCCTGAACCCTTTCCCATCCCAAACTCTCCTCCACCCTCCCATCTACCCCATCCAATCACAAACATGAGTCCAGGAAGTTTTTGACTCAATGGCTTTTCCTGCTCCTGCCTTCTCAGGAGGCCAAGGCTGGCTCTGGGGAGGCTGCAGTGACAACGTGGGCTTCGGAGAGGCAATTTCCAAGCAGTTTGTGGATGCTCTGGAGACAGGACAGGATGCCCGGGCAGCCATGAATCTGCACAACAATGAGGCTGGCCGCAAGGTGAGTTCCTTGCAGCCCTTTGCCAGAAAGCTGACTCCAGCCACTACCAGCTCTAACCCCTTCAGAGTTCTTTAACAGACTACCCAATCGGCTGGTCAGTCCCTATAGGCCCTGGCAACTCCTCCTTACGCGCAGCTCTCTCCTCAGGCGGTCAAGGGCACCATGAAACGCACGTGTAAGTGCCACGGGGTGTCTGGCAGCTGCACCACGCAGACCTGCTGGTTGCAGCTGCCTGAGTTCCGGGAGGTAGGTGCACACCTGAAGGAGAAGTATCACGCAGCGCTCAAGGTGGACCTGCTGCAGGGCGCGGGCAACAGCGCGGCGGGCCGCGGCGCCATCGCCGACACCTTCCGCTCCATCTCCACGCGCGAGCTGGTGCACCTGGAGGACTCCCCAGACTACTGCCTGGAGAACAAGACCCTGGGCTTGCTAGGCACCGAGGGCCGAGAGTGCCTGCGGCGTGGGCGCGCCCTGGGCCGCTGGGAGCGCCGCAGCTGCCGCAGGCTGTGCGGGGATTGCGGGCTGGCGGTGGAGGAGCGCCGCACCGAGACAGTGTCTAGCTGCAACTGCAAGTTCCACTGGTGCTGCGCGGTCCGCTGCGAGCAGTGCCGCCGGCGGGTCACCAAGTACTTCTGCAGCCGTGCCGAGCGGCCACCGAGAGGCGCTGCGCACAAGCCTGGGAAGTAACCCTAAGGGTCTCCTACCTCCTTCCCAGTTCGTCCTGGGCTTCGTTTCGAGGAAATAGAGGGACCCAGAATGAGGACCTCGCACTCCCTAGCCCAGCGATCCTGACTGGGAGGTAGCAGTCTCTACACCGAGTGCCACTTTCGGAACTGTTTCCCGGATTCCTCTGCATGGTCTTCGTAGCTCACTCTTAGTTCTCAAATTGTCCTAAAATTCTACACAATTGTTCCAGAGAAAAGGATGAAATCAGGCGATTCCCCTCACCTCACCCTATCCTACCCCGGACCCCAGCTGTCTTACTGCTGGACCTAGCTTTTCAGGCTGAGGAAAGAACCCTCTCAGACACGCAGAGTCCAGGTAAAGACAGCTGCACCATCCTCCTGGGAGCCCGAGCCTCCAGGGTCTACAGTCTAGACCTAGATCCCCTGATGTTGACTCATCAGGAATCTAACACTTTGTCTGCTCATTTCCCTACTTGTCCTGGAAAAACAAACAAACAAACAAACAAACAAAAGAACTGGGACCGAGAAAGCCTTTGAATATGGGGGAAGAGGGAACCCCAGAAAGCAACGTGCACAGCATCTGACCTGCACTAACACCATGCCACTGACAGACTTCATTAGCTGAGCATTGACCTTCCTAAACACCAAAGATACTTCAGACACATCCAAGAGGTCTAGCAGAGGCAGAGGTCGGGGGTGGGCAGGCTGGCAATCATTCCCTGGAGCACAGCAGCTGTCTATACCTTGTCTCCTCCAAAGGGGCATTGGCTCTCTGAGCCAAGACGGGTAAATCGAGACAATGTTTGGATCTGTACCCCTGAAGTCAGGGCCTAGGAAGGAGAAGCCCCACCCCTACACCTGCTTCTCAAATAGGCAGGACTCAGAACACTGGATACTTTCCCCCATAAGTAATCCCCCTGCTATGAAACTGTTGCTAATAGGATGTTCAGACCTTGACTTTTAATTTATTCAGTCTCTGACACCCCCATCCTGAACTCACTGGGATGTCGAGGGGAAGGCAGCCTGGAAACTTAACCTCAAGCTCTCTCTTCCCTCCCACTTGGCAGGGTACCATCCCCTTGTAGCCTCCCCTGATGAACTAAGTAGTTAGCTTGATTTGACTGGGGTTAATCTGCAGGATTAGTAAATCACCCACATAAATCTTCCACTAACGCATTCACCTGGAAGCCAAGAGCTTGCTGCTGCTGAGCCTGGGTTCCTTGCTGGGAGATGGGCAGTCCAGCAGGGACTTGTTTATGAAGTGGGCATCTGGCAACAGAGGAGCCAGTTCAGCCCAGACCCTCCCGTAGCTGCTCGCACCCTAGGCTCCTCCTGGGTGTGGGCATCCACAGCACTTCTGGAGCAGAGCCGGCCAAATTCTTTACTTCATCCCCCTTCTCCTAAAGGAAGTACAGAGCTCACAAGGAACGCCAGAGCCCGCGGGGCTGCCCTGGCAGAGTAGCCTGCCTGCCTCTGACACTGGCCAAGTCAGACCTCTATGCCTCTTCTGGTCCCATCAGCACTTAACTGGGGCTGTTCTTTCTCTTTAGCAGGAGATACACTTCTCTGGGCACTGCACTTCCAGCTCCATCAGTAAAAGGCTCTGTGTTTCTGTGTTCCTCCCTCAGTTCTCACCTGTGCCTTCTTAGTCTCCCAAAGGATCCCTTCTCTTCCCTAACCAAGCAACAGTGTGTGTTAATCCCACTGCCTCACCCACTGGCAGTTACTTGATAGTGTGCGTAGCTGAAAGTACAAAGGTCCTATGTTGGGAAGCAAAACTGTCTTTTCCAGGCTCTTAGTGCAAAGCAAAAGCACTGTGCTTCAGAGTTCAGAACCTTAAAGTCAGACTCTGAAACATCGGGTACCATTTCTTTCCTAGGTTGCTTTGTATCCCTAAATGAGTATGACTGACACCCAGTTCATTCCAGTTCTATAAAGGAGATACTGTGCCCGCCCCCGCAAGGCATTATGCTTCACGCACTGTTCATGCCATGAATACTGCAGTGGAGACGCTAACAAACACATCAGCATCCCTGCGTTCCCGGCTTCTTAGCTTACACTAAAACACCACAGCTGTGCAGACAACTCTAGAAGTGCTGACTGGGAAGACTGGGTACTCTGAGGTCAGCTAGTCAAACCTACACATTTAAACCCGTGTTGAGAAACCCGACAGGCTTGTAAGTTAGTGTGGGGTGGCACAGCCACCCAGACCCCTTCCTTCCTCTCGTGTGCTCCCAAGGAGCCCATCTGTCTCCATGTGAGGACAGAAGTGAGAGGGAGGTCCCGAGAAGTGATGAGAACACTGGGTGGGGGGAGCAAAACACGGGCTCCTTCCTGTCCCTGGCCTGTGAACCCACACATAAGCAGGGCTTTCTTTTCTTTAAAAGAGTCCCAGCCTCACTTGGCCTTAGGAGCAGGTCAGTGCAGAGAGAGAAAGGTCGTCCTTGGCACGCTGGTAGCGCGGGTGGTGGGAGGGGAGGGCAGCCGGGGCACTCGCCTATTGTCGGTCTGGATTGGATGCTTCCAGTCATTCGTTTCCTTTTAATTAACCCACATTCCTGGAGGAGAAATATTTATGTTGGCTCCCATAGAGGCAATCCTCAGACTGGAAAGAAGAGGGAAGAAAGCCTGTCTTAGCAAAACAATATCTCTAAAGAGCTCAAGGAGAGAAAATAGGGGAACAAAATGCCATTAAAACAGCCTTCTACCCCCGCCGGAGTCAATGAAAACTTCATTTCACATGTTAATCCGCCACTCCGCCCCCTTCTCCCCTCACAACACCTTTTCCGACAGTGTTTGGGAAAAGTCTCTGCAGTTAGTACACAGCTCCTGCAGCTCAGACTTCTCCTTGTGTTAGTTCAGGGCCCCAAGTGGGGCTCTCGCTCCAGCAGCCGCTTTTTTTTCCTCCCCCCTTTAATTTAAACAAAGACTTCAGAGTTCATCAACCTCCCACTGAAATTCACAGCTGCTGAACAAACTAATCCCCTCTCCCGGCCTTTCTTCCCTTCAATGGGCTTCTGGCTTCAAAGACACTTTGGGAAAGGACTTTGCTGGGGCTCACACTGCTTCATCAATAGAAGTTAGCACACGCATTATCTGAAGAGCAAGTGGCTTTACAAACAAATACTGCCTAACAATCCCTCCCTCCCAAACACACACATCTAGCCTGCAGACATGATGGGATCGACAACAGGATTAGGGCTGCTACCCCCTGGCTTCACACCCAGGCTCTTTGTGCAGCTGAGCTCAGCCCTGAAGTGGTGCGGGGGAAACCCTGCAGCTAACTGTCAGGCACAGATGGAGACAGACAGAAGGACAGATAGGCAGACAGAGAGACAGACAGACAGACAGAGACAGACAGAGAGAGACAGAGAGAGAGAGAGAGAGAGAGAGAGAGAGAGAGAGAGAGAGAGAGAGAGAGAGAGAGAGAGAGACCGTAAGGAAAGGCCTGCAGCATAAGTCCATGGGACTACATTTAAAAAATTATTTTCTTGGGCTGAAGAGATGACAGCTCTTCCAAAGGACATGGGTTCAATTCCCAGCACCCACTAGGTACCCTCTTCTAGCCTTTGTGGGCATCCAGTACTAAACATTGTACACAGACATATATGTAGGCTAAACACTCATACTCATAATTTTTAAAGTTCTTTTCCTCAATATTTTAGTTCTTATCTCTCCCCAGACCTCTCTCTTGCCTTCCTATATAGTACAGGGGCAAGCCTCTCTGCTCTTGAAAGGGAAGCAGCCACAGTAGGATCCAGAGGAGAGGAGGCTTGGGAAACAACTTTGGAAAGCAGATCACTTTATTGCACTGTTGAGGGGCCAGCATGAAAATGTGACAGAGAAGGCAGATTGGAGTCATAGAGGAGCTGAGGGAAGAAAGGTCCTGGACCCTTTGAGTAGCCGGCTCTGATTCCAGAATCGGGCTCAAAAAATCACAGACTGAATGGTTTAAGGCCTTGGGCCAGGCTCAAGCCTAGGTAGTGTCAAAAGTCATTCTCTACAGCAGGAGTCTCAGCCTTCCTCAGGCTGTGCCCCTTAATACAGTTCCTCAGTGTGACCCCAGCCATAAATTATTTCCTTGTTACTTTATAACTAATTTTGCTACTGTTATGAGTCATAATGTAAATACCTGAGTTTTCCCATGGCCTTAGATGGTCATGACCCACAGGTTGAGAACTGCCGCTCTAGGCTTCTACCTCAGAATCTAAGCGAAAGGCACTTCACATCTGCCACTCACCACCCAACAGCCCACCCGGACTAACGCTGACACAGGAGAGGCTCCATGTTTAAAGGCCAGTTCCTTTCTTGATTTTACTCAACACCCACACCCAATTCTCATGTCCATGACTTGTTGAAAGAGTGAACATCAACAAATTCTCTTCAAATCCCTGGGGCTACAATAAATATGGACAGAGGCAGAGGGAAAGCACAGTTAGACTCTAACTCCAGAAGGGCAGACTGAACTAATGACACTGTTCACCCTCTCTGAAGCCATCTGAATAGAATAGCCCTGTGTAAGACATCCTGGTGCAGGCCCCTTGGACTGTCATATTAGGGAAAGTAAGAGCTCACTCTCTGCTTTACCTCTGAAAGCACCCAGGGTAAGGCCAGGTGGGCAGGCATAAAGAGGTAAGAAACAGGCCCTCTGCTGGTGTGGAACCAAGGCCCCAGCGTCACATACCTGGCAGCAAGGGGAGAAGACTGGGAGAAATAAGCAATCTGTTGAAAAACTCCCCCTTTCCGCTGCCAGGCTTAGGCCTGCAGCTTGTGTGCGATGGTGAGGACGGCCTTCAGGACAGGCATGAAGCTGGACACCTCGCTGAAGCTGCTGCAGCCCGCCACCTGGGCATGTACTGCAAGCCCCTGACCAAAGCTGCCTGCATCCACACATCGCGCAACTTCATGGAGCCCAGCCAGGACGTGCGGTGAGAGCTGCGGAGGGATTGACCATAGGTGAGAGGAGCCTGGCCCAGCCTCAGCTCAGACAGCATGGAAAGGGTAAGAGACCCACGTTCAGGAAGATGGCTCTGAGTCTCATAGCAAAGGGACACTGGGCTTCCTCTGACCACAGGTGGCAGTGCAGAGGCACTAGGCAGAGGAAGTCAGTGAGGTACTTACTGTCCCCTCACAGAGCTTTTCATATAGACATTCTAGACGCTGGGTTGCCTCATCCAGCTTCCTTTTTGTTTTCTGTGGGGAGAACAGTGGATTCTGACCCCACCCCCAAGGCTCATCCTATACAGCACTATAAACATCCATGAGATACAACAGCTAGGATGGCTCAGTGCTATTTCCTTTATTTCACAGAGACCCAAAGATGGCAAGAGACTTGCTCTGGTGACACAGCTAGTGAGTGAATGGCAGCTTTCTCCCGCCAGCGCCACCCATTTTCCAATATGCTTTGCTGTCGTAAGTCCCCATGCTCTTTGATCCCGCTATTGAGAAGTGGGATTCAGGCAGACTCCAAGCCCTCCCCTACTTCATTTGGACATCAAAGAAGTACCAGATAGAGCCAGTATGTCCCGGACAGTAAGGGAACTGGTTTCCACGAGAGGCCATAGCGGCCTGCTGAGGATGTGAGGAGGCACTGTGGGAAGGCTCAGACTTACCAGGTCAGTGGCAGACAGGGAACAGCGCTGAATAAGCGCCTCAAAGCTGTCCTTCAGGCACTGGTGTTCTGCGGGCAGCACCTTCCTCTCAGGAGGCAGTTGCTGGAGTTGTTGATGGGAACAGTGAGGAAGGACGGAAGGCAAGCTGTCCTCATGGCTTCCCTAGGCTTAGTCACCTGTGACTCAAGCTCATGCTTCCATCAAGGCAGAGCTCAGAGCCACCCCTCCCCTTCTCTGCAGGAAGGACACCCTCAGCTCAGGGTCAGATAATCTGGTTTCCCTGGAAGGCAGCCCAGGGGAGAGGACTCACTGTTCTTGTCACCTGCAGGCTGCCTTCTCTTGGGGCTCCGGGAGGAGACCAGCTCGCACTGGAGACCTGGGGCTGAGGCAGCAGGGCCTGTGGTGGTGGCTCAGGGCCAAGGCACATAGCTGGAACTGTAGTCAGTGCTGGAGGCATAATTGTCTCTGGCAACTACCGAGATAAAGAAAAGCATGTGAGCAAACCTTGAGAGGCTCCAGGCTCTGGTTTTGAACAAGAAACGGGATGGTGAAAGGGAACTGGAGAACAGGAGGTGTGTGCAGGGGGAGAAGGGGAGTTGCTGAGAGGTACACACTAACTCGGAGGAGTAAAAACCGGAAGGGTGGAGTTCTTAAAGAACTAGAAGGTGGGTCACCAGCTAGGGAAAGAGGCGGCAACCTTTTTCCTCGGGAGGTTTTCCTGGGTAGCTGGAGCAACTTGCCAGGCATCCTGGGATCCTAAAGAGCAAGACATGGGGGATTTTAGGGACATGGTCAAGGACCTTGGAGATGTTACTCTAAAAGCTGGAAAAATTATTTTAGTTAGAGTCTGCCATACCTCCCTCTGTAGATCAGTCATACTCCTAGCTGACAAAGGGCTTAGAAGAAAAGACTCACAAAGTAGTGGTGGGATGGGGAGAGAGGAGGCAATGACCCCTCCCCCAGAAGGAGCATGGAAAGAAGACTGACCTGGACGAGGAGTCAAGATGCCGGTGCTCAGGAGGCTACTGGAGCACAGAGCCCCTGGCCCTCCAGGAGGGTAAGCCACAGGAAAACTGACAGGAGAGGCTGAGGGCAGGGAACTCAGAGGGCTGGGACCTAGTGGTCCCATTGGAGGCCGAGGGAATAGTCTAGGAGTCTCAGGCAGGGGGTTAGAGCCAGGCTGCATGATGTCTGGGGATGCCATGAGTGGAGGGGGACCAGAAAGAGGCCATGTTCCAGAGAATCCAACCGGGTTTGCAGCCTGAGCATTTTGTCCTCCTAACAGCTGAGGCTGAGATGAAGCTGAAGGAGAATAGAATTAGATAATTTATCATCAAACTTCATTTTGGGAGAGACTCGGAGAATACCATCCAGAAAAAAATCAGCAGCACAAACACGGCGAGTGAGATGAGACACACCTTTAGTGACACCTAGGAGGCTGAGACACGACCTTTTGAGACCAGGCATTTGAAACCAAGCAAGAGTCCATACCAAAAAACAACTGTAAACCCACAACTAACAATAACAAGGAATCATTAGTACATGCAGAGAGAAATCTGTAATTTTCAAAGGGCTTTTTAACTGTAATCCTTATTTGACCCTCAGAACAATATTAGCGAATTGAAATGTCTTTGGTATATTGCCAAAATTACAAAGTCTTTAGCCAGAGACAGAGACAAAGACAGAGAGGCAGAATATGAGGAGGGATTCAGTAAAAGACACTATTAGGAATTCAGACTTTAATGTCAAAGGAATTTTCTCAAAAAAAAAAGAATTGTAAAAAGTTATTAAAAAGACAAAACAAGTTGGGTATACCCTATAATTCCAGCACTTGGGGGGAGAGGCAGAGAGACCAGTTTAAGGTCATCCTTCGCTACATAGCAACTTTGAAGCTAGCCTGGGGTACAGGAGACCCTGTCCCCAAACAACAGTGCTCTCTCTAGGGTCATCAGCATGGACTGGGGAAGCAGTATGTCTGTCTTTCCTGAAACCTCTGTACTCTGCCAGAAGAGAGCTCCTCTTACTCACCAGGCCTTACTCCAGGGCCAAAATGCAGAGGCAGAGTTTCCTGGGGCCCAGGTACCCTGTAGTCGCCTGTAGACTGTGCCTGTGAGCCCTGAGAAGGGCTGAGGTGGAAGGCTGTGAAGGGTGTCACTAACGATGGCTGAGCTGTGGCCCTTGGCCTTGCAGATGGAGCCGGGACCTGTGTAGGAGAAAAGGGTCAGGGGCTGGTGTGATGTGGTGTGGCATTTTCCCATGCCCTGTCTCTGTAGCAACACCAGGGTCAAGCCTAAATTCTTCAGTACAAAATGCCAGATGTTCAGCCTCCTACTTCCCACCGGTTATTCCTTTATTCGACTCCATCCCAAGATCACAACCCACCGAAGTTTCATGGGCTCCTCAAAAGGCTGTTGCTTCCTCTTGTTTCGGTGTGTTTGCGCTTCTGTCCCTGTGCCTGAAGTAGACTTAATGTAGCCATTCCCTTATCAAAATAACTTAACCTTTAGTATCCAATCAAGGGTTCATGAAATGCTTTAACACACATGGCAGAAGGAGAGAACTGGTTCCCACAGGGTGTCCTCTGACTTCTACACACGCAGTGTGATACACATCTGCACACATGCACGCATGCGCGCGCGCACACACACACACACACACACACACACACAGAATTTCTTTTTCTTCTATATATTCCCATAGCACTCTGTCATACTGCAATGTTGGCTATTCTGAATTCTACTACATTTTTAAATACATCTGTGGTGGTTTGAAAGAAAATGACCCCCCAAGGGAATGGCATTATTAGGAAGTATGGCTTTGTTTGAGTAGGTATGGCCTTGTTAGAAAAGTGTATCACTGTAGGGTTGGGCTTTGGGGCCTCCTTTGCTCAAGATATACTCAGTGTGGTACACAGTTTATTTCCTGTTGCCTGTGGATTCAGATGTAGAACTCTCAGCCCCTTCTCCAGCACCATCATCTGTCTGCATGCCCTATGTCCTGACATGACGATAACGCACTAAGCCTCGGAACTATAAGCCACCCCCAATTAAATGTTTTCCTTTATAAGAGTTGCTTTGGTCATGATGTCTCTTTGCAGCATTAGAAACCCTAAGACAATATTTGTCTTTTCTCTAAAGGAACTACTTGAAGGCAAAAATTATAGTCTGTGTTCTTTATGTTCTAAGATTCTAGTGTTTGTTCAATAAACAGTCATAAGAAAAATAACTGAATCTAGCATGGTTCTATGAAACTGGGAATTTTCATCTGGTTTTGTTCACTAAGGTATTCCAAGTGTCTACAACCATGCCTGTTACATAAATACTTTTCAATGGATGAATAAATGAATTAACAGATAAGTTCTTACCTGGTGAAGAGTCTGGGATCCCATACTATATGATAATATCTCTTTTGGGTGGAGGGTAGTCCCTATAGCAACCCGGGGAAAAGAGAAAGTGGGAGCCTGCTGGCCCAGGACAGCAGAACCTTGGGCATGAAAAAGTCGATCTCTCAGCTGCTGAACTGCTGGCTAAAATCATAATAAGGAAGAGCGGTTAGGAAACTAAAACAAACAAATGTTTTCCTACAAGCCTGGCCTCATTCAGCAAACTTTGGGTTGCTCTCTATATTCTGTAGTAACCTGAAGAGACCCAAAGTTTCCTAATCCCTGCTTTCTCCCTGCTGGGAGTACCCTTAGGCACTTCTCTTTGAAGTTCAACTGCTTTCACCACAGGAAAGCCTCCAGAAAAATCGGCCTCTTCCCTGGTGTGCCAAAGTGCTTAGTGTAACCTTCTCTTATGGCACTGTACCTTTCAACATGATCTCTCCCAACAGATTGAGAGCTGCCTAAGGGATCTTATTTCACCCAGGAGCTACAGCATTAGCATAGTGCCTAAACATGGATGTGCTTGGTGTTAGATAAATGAATACAATTAGATAAATGAATAGCCTTTGTCATGGCCACTCTCACCTGGATGCAGTCACTGGGTAGGAAGCTCATGGCAGTGGCTAGGCTGCCCTGGGCTGCCAGGAGGCCGGCATACTGGGTAAGCCGGTAGGCTGTGGCAGGACCTGGGCTCATCTTGTCAGAACCCTGCAGTAGCTCCAAGCTCCTGCGAAGGACGATCACCTTCTCCATCAGGTCCTGTAGGGACAAGGATGCAGGTGATCAACACCTTTCCAAGTACATCTGGCTCTGTCCAGGTAGTTCACCCAGGAACACCATACCATGGAAAGGAGAGCCCCTGGACACACCGTGGTGAAGGCGACAGACAATCACTGTAAGAGATGATAGAGGAGGCCTCAATTCCTAGGCCATTAAGAGTGGGATCAATGGGCTGTGTCTGGGTCTTGAATTCTCTTCTTGGTACGTTTATTCCTTTTTTGCTATGTCATCAATCAGATGCTATTATACTAATCATTTCATGTGAGCCTCTGGTCTCTCACACATCTATGACTTCACCATCTCTGCTTAACCACAGAGCACCTGATACAGTTTAGATCCAGAGAATGCTTCCCAGAAACTATATATCAAACATTGAGTTGACTTGTATGATGAATGCTTGCATGGGACAATTTTATGAAGACTCATACCCAAGCTTGGCATCCTGAGAAATAAGGCATCAGACACTGAGGGCTCTCTGCTCTTCGCTAACACGTGGCTCCAGCTTACCCACTTCCCTTATGTGCATATGACTCACTTCTCTTAGCTGCATATCCCTGCTACTAGTCTCTCCTATGAGCCCCGAGGTGGCTAGAACTGCAGAGAAGAGGTACCTGCAGAGCCATGGGGCATGAGGCTTTTGGGAGGGATTTTGCCCAGCTGTCTACTAGCTGCTCCACATTTCCCGAGCACACGTAGCAGAGTCTAGCTTCAGAGGCGAGTGCCCTGCCTCCCTCCTGCTCCATTCGAGTTCCCAGCATATCTGTGGAGAGAAGCAAATTTGGTTAACAGCACAGCTCCCCTGTGCCATTCTTCCTTCACATGTTTGGGAACAAGTGGACTTCTGTGAGCTCTGACACAAGAGTCTACAATGGCTTTGATGCAACCCAGGGGGATGGAGAGATGGCTCAGTGGTGAAGAGCACATGCTGCTCTTCTAGAAGGCATGCGTTCAATTTGCAGAGCTCACGGTAGTTCACAACTATCTAAAACTCCAGTTCCTGGGAATCTGTCTACTTCTGCCTTCCATGGGGACCAGGCCTACACATGGTACATTCACTTATATACATACAAGCAAAATACTCATACACATAAATAAAAACAAAAAGAAATCTTTTAAACAAAAGGTAACTCAGACTAACCTAGCTCTATAGAGAAAGGCAAGGAACTTGCCACAAGATGTAACATAGGGGAAAAAGGGAACATATCTTATCTCCAGGATAAGAGATGCTACAATCCCTGTCTCCTGGCTGAGCCCTGCCTTCCAGAGCCCAGGCTGATTGATACTTTGCCTCCTTCTTGCATAAGGCTGTTGGCATGTGCTGAATCACACCTACCACATAGCTCAGGGAATTTCTCTGGCCCTGAATACGTCAGTAGCAAGGCCAGGGCTTCTCTCCAGTTCTTCAGGCTACAGGCACATACTAGGTCTTTCCAGTTCTTCTTTACAACACAGGCTAGAAGCTGTACTGGGCAGAAAGGGAAAGAGACCCTCGGTCTTCCATCCAGCACAGTTAGTAGGTATCACAAACAGGGATGTTCTAATAAAGTCACTCATGTCAGAACCCATCCGGACTAGCAATGAAGTAGAGGTTGTTAGAATAGGGAGATAGGTGGACCCCAAACACTAGTCCCAAGATGGGTCTCCACTTGTCCAGACCCAAGTGATCCGCCCCCTTTCTTCTCCTGCATGATGGGCAGTACCGGAGAGATTTTGGTTCTCCTCTTGGCCAAGTAGTGTTCTTGTGTCCACTTCAGCAGCTCTGCTCCCCCAGCCTGGGCCAGGATGATGGCATCAGCAAAGCGTTCTTCCTTCATACACAGCTCCACAGCAGGCCGCAGTTCCCCAAGGAGCAGGGCCCGGCTCAGGAGTCCATCAGTGTCTACACAGAGGTGCCTCACCCCATTAGCTGACCACCACACACTCACTTCTTGTCCCTCAAGATCTCAGAACTTCCCCCTCTGGTTTCCAACTTTTCAAATAAGGCAGGATGTGACGGCTTCTTTCATAGTGTGTTTGGAGGCCTGTCTGCGAACTCTATCTCTAATTCAGCCTGTCTGGTTCCACAAAATTCCCAAGTTTCATTTCTGGGCAACAAAATGTAGTGTCCCAGGGGTGCCCTGGTCCAACTGTAACTTTCTAAAATAGGACTCAGAACACAGAGGGAGGGCCTTGTGTACAGGATCTCAGGCATAATGTATGCTTGCTCAGCATGGGCAAGGGTACAGTCCTTTTAACAAGAAAACTAAGGGATGGAAAAAGGCCTCAATAAGAGGCCATCCACAGGCAGCACCCATCATTAGACTCTGACTAGAGACGGCACTAGCTGGTACAAGACCCACCCACAGATGAGATTTTAGGTGGGAGGCAGGAGGTAATAATAGGCTGCTAAAACCAAACCCTCTGGGCCCACTGCTTCCCCAGGGTCAGGGTACCTTCTGTGGTGGGGATCTCCCATGGAGTCATGTTCTGTGGAAGCAGCTCATCAAAGAATGCTGAGGATGCAGAGGCTTCCTCGGTGGTGTGTTTGGAGGCCTGTACACGGAAGGACAGATGTCACCATGTAGGAACCCAAACCAGAGAATAGAGCGCATGCGCTCACCAAAGCTCTACTATTTGCACCCTAGTGCATAAAACTAAAAGAGTGTGAGGTGGGTTTGGGAAGAACTCCTCGGACTCTGTGTCCTACCCTGGCCTCAAGACAGCAAAGACTTCTCTAGAAGCCTCCCGAGAGCAAATGGAAGGGGCAGCAAGGACTGTGTTCCCTAAAACGCAGGTCTCCTATGCCACCTCCAATGGGGGGGCAGGCCTCTTACCATACCTGGTGGCAGAAGGCATGTGGTCTGTCCCTTTTGAGGTCAACTGCCTCAAGCTGAGGGCTTCCCCCTAACTGCAAGTCACTCTTCAAGCATGTGTCCACCTGTGAGGAGAGCCTTATGATAGCACTCTTCGGGACAGGCTCCCTAGAGCCTTACACCCTTCCCCCAGGCCCCACCAACTACACTCTTCAAGATCCTTCACCCTCTTTTCTGAAGAAAAGACAAATTCCAGGAGGTAAAACACACATCTGTGGCCAGGTGACCTGGGGCAGCTTCCTCCGGCAGGATTATTTGCTTACCTTCTTCTGAATCTCATCTTTGCTGAACCCTAACAGCCTGAGGAACTGCAGCCTAGAGTCATGCTCAAAGGTCACCTAAGGAACAGGAAAATGCAGAAACGCTTCCATTAAATGAAGGTGAATGGCCCTTCCTGTCCCATGACGAACATTTTACAAGTGTACCCTCAAATACAGTTCCCTCACGACAGTGATGCTGCCTCTTTCCTTTCTTCCTCAGATCTGGCTTTTGCTGGCCTGGGAACAGCATTATCACAACCCTTTGCCACTTCTAAATAAGAAGTGTACCTTCAGTTGACTTCCTAACTCAGTTACCCTGGCAACCTGATGAGAGTAAAACATTGGCTGTTTTGAGGCACTGCTGCTTGTAATTGATTGGCTATTGCATCTGGTCTGGAACTATGCAAACCATGGACGCCATGGCAGGGTTTTTTCTGGCTTCACGAACTCTGGGGTCTCTGAAACTGACCCTTGGCCTTTCTGCCTAAGCAGCTCTAAGTCAGGGCACCTTACATATCTGCTTGTGTCTACCTGGGTCATCTCCTTGCATCTGAGCCGTGTGGGGAGCTAAAGGGAACTCTGAATTGCTGCATGAGAGATTTCACACAGGAGAGAGCCACTGGCCCTGCACTAGGCTGTGCTCCTGGTCTCTGGCCCTCGGAGGAGACTGATGCCAATCGTAACCTGCAGTGGTCTTGGAGTCTAACCGCAGTTGAGAAGACACTGGAAGAAGAGGCACAGGTATAGTGCACAAAGTCACCTCCCACTCCCGGTCCCAGACACCAAGGGCCGAGAAGCTGGGTCAGCTGACCTCCAACTTTTGTTTCTTCCACACTGAACAATGGATTCTGACTATAATCTTTCTGACAATCTCGCCTTCCTCCTCCTTCCATGCTTTTCCTTGGAATGGCTCTCCGTACTCAGCTTCAGAAACCATCATGATAGACAGCTCTGAGTATCTTAGTTTACATTAATTTATTTATTTTGTGTACATATGCATGTGAGCACATGTGCTTTTATATGTGTTCACATGTAAGTGTGTGTGTGTGGGTGAGAGAGAGAGAGAGAGAGAGAGAGAGAGAGAGAGAGAGAGAGAGAGAGAGAGAGAGAGAGAGAGAGAGTGTGTTGGGGTACCAAGCCTCATGCATGCTAAGAAAGTACTCTGTCACAAGCTAGTTCTCACGTGTGCTGGCAAGCACACACTCCTCCATGTTATAATGACATAGTGAAGACTGTAACTCCAGCCCTGGTGCTGCCCTGGGTTACATCAAACAGGGACCTGCCCTGGGTTACATCAAACAAACCCTAAAACTCCTTATGTTCATGTATCACTCCAATGAATCTTCCCTTTGTCATGATACTATGAAAGCATTTTCCTTAGCTGGTAAAATATCCTGGACATCAACAATAGCAGCAACTCCCACCCTCCGACATCTTTTCAAGTGGCCTTTGAGCCTCTAGAAAGGGTAAAGGCAAAAGAGCCTGTGTCCAGAGAACACCGAGTCAGGGGATGAGCTTCTTGAATGGATCACAGGGTGCTTGCTATGTCTCCTGGAATTGATGAGGGCTGGAGTTCTGGATCTTTAGAGAAGAGCAGGCAGCCTTCAGGCCTCCTACCTTCAGGAACTGCCAGAGCATCTTTTCACATGGCAGTGAAGCTTGCTGAATCTTGCTCTGGCAATAATTAAGGAGACTTCCAGATCCCAAGGCCTCCTGCAGCATGACTGACCGCGTCAGGAACTCTGATTCTGTGACGACTTGACTGATGTAGACAGGGCGGGGACAAGGCTGTGGCAACTGCTCAACAGGGATGCTGGGGAGGCCAAAGGTAACCAGCTTTCCCCCAAACTGGTAAGGAAATGTAAGAAAGGAGAACATTATACTTTCAAGCCAATAGCCAAGTTAAGATTTCAGAGAAGACTACCTGTTAATCAAACCTTGGGTAAGTGTGGTAGTTTGAATGAGAGCAGCCCCTATATGCTTATATATTTGAATGCTTGGTCATCAGGGAGTAGCACTACTTGGGAAGGACGGGAAGGTGTGGCCTTGTTGGAGGAAGTGTGTCCTCAAGGTGAACTTTGAGGCTTCAAGGGCCTAAGCCAGGCCCAGTGACTTTCTCACTTCCTGCTGCCTACACATCTGGATGTAGAGGTCTCAGCTACCATGTCTACCTGCATCCCACAATGCTCCCCCATGTTGATGATAATGAACTAAGTCTATGAAAGTGTAAGCAAGCCCCCAATTAAGTGATTTCTTTTATACGAGTTGTCTTGGTCATGGTGTCTGTGCACAACAATGGAACAGTGACAAAGACAGATGGAAAACCAATAGGAAGTTTCTAGGATGGAACAGGATCAGGAATTGAGTCCTATAACAATCTGGTTTTTTTTTTTTAAATTTACGTATTTATTTTGTATAGTGTTCTGCCTGCATGTGTGCCTGCAGGCCAGAAGAGGGCACCAGATCTCATTATAGATGGTTGTGGGCCACCATGTGGTTGCTGGGAATTGGAAGAGCAGTCAGTGCTCTTAACCGCTGAGCCGTTTGTTTCTCCAGCCCGTCCTGTAACAATCTTAACCACCACAAGATTAAGATGTCACCACTTGGTACTCCCTCTCACTTCCCACCATTTCTCAAGCACCTAGAGGAAACGAGGTGGTACTATCATAGGCTATGTGTACCACCACAGCTAAGCTTATCTTCCCGCTCCTGGTCCAATGTCTCTCATACAGGTACTCTTTTTCTTACACCCTTTGTTAGCACACCTACATCGCTAGAAGTGCCTGTTAGCCTTTGTCTTTCTCCATTCTTCCAGTCCAAGGCTTAGAGCCTGCCCTATTGCTCACACAACCCTGTTGCTACTCCAGATCGTATAATGGTTTGAGAGACCACAGGAGATCACTTACCCTCCTCTGGCAAGCACAACCCCCCCCCAAATTAGGACCAAACATGTCTACCCCAGCATCTTTGCTCTTGATCATTTATGTGACTGCTCAACATTCCAAAAACGACTGGTCATCCTCACTTCTGAGCCTTTACCTACACCACTCCACCTGAGGCAGCCAGCCAGCCAAATCTGACACTTTACATCACGCAGATGGTACAAAATCAGAGGTTTAACAATCCTCTCTCCAAATAGTCCCAATCTTGGCCACACAGTGAAACTTCTGGGAAGCTCTCCAGTCAGCAGGCCACACCCAGACAATGACACCAGGAGCTGGGTGAGAGTAGCACCAGTAATTTTGAAGCCCTCAAGTTATTCCAATGTGTTACCAAGATTGACACACTGTTCCACTCCCTAAATAGTCATTATCTTCCCTCCTAATTCCCATTTGCTTAGTGAATTTTCTAGTCATAATTATATCACTTACAGAACAAACTTTAGAGCACGGCTTAGTGTTCAACAAAGTCATTTATTATAATTTGCATAGTATTTGACAGTGTTACAGAATGCTGGACAGGAACTACTACTTCTGTCTTACAAGTTAAGATACTGGTTGTTGATATCCTGGCATTATGCTGACCCCGCCCCCTGACAACTGGCAGGGTACTCATGCTGGCATTCAGGCAGGTACTTAGACAGTTCAAATGGCCCTGTGTTGCATGGCTATGTCATGACACATAAGGACTCTGTATCCATGTGCAAGCCTTCCCCCTTTTAAGCAAGACCTTCCACCTGTTCTTTCTCGTTTAATTTCTACTCCTGGTTGGCCAACACCAACTCCCCGCTTTGCTCCCTTTCACAATAAATTCCACATGGTTTGTGTTGAGTTTTGTGGTTCATGTTTCATCGCCTGGAGCTGCAGCGAACAACAACACTGATATCCTGAGGGGTTAAATGACTTCAGAGCCACCTAACTAGCAACAGAGATATGACAAGAACTCTTCACCTCACTGCCCCTGCCTTTTTTGTTGATGGTAGTGGTGTGAGGCATTTAAACCCAAGGGTGTGGGCATGCTAAACAAGCTATACCCCAGTGCCCACTCTCCTTCTCTTATAAAGTCATGCCTCATAACAAAACTGCTGACTCCAAACACAAAATGTCTCCTCTTATATACCTTTTTTCAAATCAAATCTAGTACTAAAGCCGTGTGTTAGGTGCTTCAGGGCCTCCTTGCTACTCAAAGTGTTGGTCCTCAGACTCGCAGCAAAGATACCACCTAGAAAGTTGCTGGAAAATTGGAAATCTTGATTCCTATATCAGAGCCACTGAACCAGAATCCAAGTTTTAGTAAGATTCTCAAGTAATCTTTATTCACATTAGAGTTTAAAAAGTTCTGCTCTGGGGATATTGGGGATATGAAAATCAACAAGGCACTTCCTAACCTTACAGAATATGTTATTTAGCAGGATCTCCAGATACATACATACATACATATATACATACATGCCACACACACACACACACACACACACAATCACAGGAATACAAATCTCTACAGAATGGAGGCTAATGTTAACCAAGGAGGAGGTGGTATTTAAGCAGGGCGTCTTTAAAGTCCACTGTAGGACTCAGTGCACAGGAGAGAAGCAGAAGGACAGACACGAGAGAGGTGAGGGCTGTTCATAGGGTAGAAACGAGCCATATGTAACTAGATACAAGGACTGGTGGGAATGAGACATAAAAAGACACCGGGGAGGTACACAGAGCCCCGTGTGTACATAGTCTTAAGCCTATAAGGCAGGGGAAGCTCAAAACTTTTGAGTAGTGGAATAACAGAATAAAATCTGCATGCTTTTCCTTTCCTTCCTTGTCACCAGCACAAACATTTAAGAGTTACAGAAATCTCAGGTAGAATTTCAGGCTGTTTGTCATAAGCAGGAGGACTAAAGCGGTGGATTTCTCTTAGACAGGACCGGCAGGTCAGTCAGGCTGCAGAATGGTGATGTGAGGGGAGAAGCTGGACTAGCCATCTGCTTGAGAAGGGAGTGAGACAGGCACGGAGACAAGTCATCAGAACTTAGCTCCTTGCTGGGCAGGAGAGGCCCTGCATGCAAACATGACACACAGCGACACTTACAGCGAATGAAACGCCTGCTGGCCTTCTCATCCACTTAGGAGGCTTCTTCAAGGGAGGCATCAATAGTGCCGAGGCCACTTGTTCAGGCACGGGCATCACTGGGAGAGGCTGGCCTTTACTAAAAGAAGGGGAAATCTGAGGAGAAAGGACACCTGTGTCACCAACACTGAATGACATCTTAGCAAGGAACTCTACCTACAAGCTCAGTTTGTGGATAAATCCCTGTGATGCCCAGCTTGATATAGAAGCAAAGACAGTGTGGGGCTGGGGATGAGGGTGAAAGTGAAAGTCACTCAGATGTGGGAGCCTCTTGGAAAGCTCTATTTAAGTCTAACTGGAGTGTGACACAAAGAGACACAGCGGAGGATATACGTGAGTCCATATTGTGAGATAACAGACCAAAAATAGAGGTTCAGAGTGAAAAGCAAGAGTTAAGAAGGCAGTTTCCTCTATACTGTGACAGAAACTGACTTCATCTCAGGAAGCCGGGACTAATGCAAGACACAGCCCTATAATTCTACAAGACACAGCCCTCTAAAGTCTACAAGACACAGCCCTCTAAAGCCCACAGCCTGACTCCCTCTCTTCAATAGCTCCCGTTTCTTCCCAGGCTATGTGTCCTTCTCTTCCCTAAAACACAGACAGTTCCTCCCTCCAGCACTCTCTACCAAGCCCTTCAAACCTTGTCAGTCTGCCTCATGAGCTGGTCCTCCCAGCTCCTACCCATCACAGAGTACAAACTGATCCAGCCATCGAAGGAGACAGCAGAGAACACGGGAGGGTTCTGGGGGCACCACTGGACATCAAAGCACCAGCTGTTCTGTGTGGGCAGCTTGTATACCACCTGCCGTGAGAGCAGAACCATTAGGAACAGTCCAGGAAATACTGACTTGGGTCACACGGCTGGGATCCCTCTGCTAGCACATCTCTATCACAGGGACCCTGTAGGACCAGCCTACCTCACTGCTTGCCAGGTTCCAGCAAAAGATCTGGTTGTCTTTGGCACTGCTGAGCAGCAATTCAGCATCAGCCTGGCTCCATGACATAGACAAGATCCCCCTAAACATGAAAACAAAGAGGAGCCAATGTTTGTTGAATGCCAGCTCTGATTAGGTGCCTCATACATTGTAGATAAGGCTCAGCTCTTCAAAGCTGACGCTTTAACTGACTTTGTCAAAGGAGAAACCAAAGCTGTAAAAAGTGAGTTTCTGTCAGATATAGGCAAGAAGACTTGAGATCGATCCCTGGTGCCCATGTAACTAAGCTTGGCAAGGTAGTACATACAATCCCAGCAATCAGAATCACTAGGATCCCTGGGGTTTACTGGCCAACTGACCTTGCCCAATTGGAGAGCTTAAGACTCAGTAAAGACCCTGTTTCAAAAAACATGTTGGTAGACATCTACTAAGGAACACCTGGGGTTGACCTCTTGTCTATGGACACACATGCATACCACATATATGTATGCATGTATGTGCACACATAGAGAGAGAGAGAGAGAGAGAGAGAGAGAGAGAGAGAGTCCTAAAGGAGGAATAAAGTCAACATGACCTCTTGATTAAAATCTATTGTGGAGCTGCTTCCTCAGCTGTGGGTCCAAGAACTACAGCTCCAGAGGCAGGGCTTCCTGAACACAGAGGAAGTCAAGTTGCTTATTAAGATCTTGCAGGAGGCTCCCACTCAGAGGAATGAACACTGTTCTCAGAGCATAACCTAGGATTCTCCCAAGGGAATTGCTATACTTGGGGTTTTGTTTGCTTTGTTTTTATGAAACAAGATCTCATCTGTGCTCAGGCTTCACCTCAGTCTCATTATATAGCCCAGGCTGACCTTGAATTCCCCCAGAAATCCTCCTAAGTGTTAGAGTTAGAGGCGTAAGCCACTACACAGTTTATACCTTAGATGTTAACTACGGCTGGGCATGGTAGCATATATCTTCAATCCCAGTACTTTAGATGTTAAGCATCTCCCCAAAGTCTACATGTTAAAGTCTGGTCCTCAGAGAGGGGCTGCTGGGAAATAGTGAAGCCTCCTAATGACAGGACAGATGAAGCAGTGAGAGGTCTGTGGGTCTCTGAAAGAAGGCTCTGGAGAAGATGCTGCAACTCTGGCCTCTTCCTAGATCTCTTCTGCTCCCTGGCCATGAGGTGAACGGCTTTTCTCCCTACACACTCCTGCCATAATTTATCACCACATCACAGTCCCCAAAGTAAGGACACTAGTCACTCATGAACAGAGAACAAAGCATTTTCTTTACAAATTAAGTACTCCAGGTAGTCATTCTAGTGATAGAAACTAACACAAGGGCTAATATTCTCAAACATTTCTCATGACCCCATCCTTAGAAGAATATGTAATTCCAGGCTCTTCTCTATAGACCCAGGCTCCAAAGGAACTCCTCTTTGAGATAAAGCTAGTATTGGCTGTGTTCTCTGCAATGACTTTGAAGACATCGAAGGTATTAGTAGCTAAAGGATGGGTTTGTGGATGGGCTTGAGATCTACCTGCTGTGACTTTCTAACACCATCAGGGGTGAGGAGGCAAAGCGCAGGTCCCACAGCTGAATCACTGGGAGATGGTCGTCTTCTGAGCACAGCACCAACTGGGTGGCTATGTCTGGGTGCCAAGCCAGGCCTGAGCAGTTCATCTGTGGACAAAGTAGATCCTGAGGGCTGACATGACCTAACCTCTCAGACTATGAACTCCTTCTGCCCAGCTGGAATGAGACTACTCCGAGGGTACCTTTGGTCTCTTCTCTCTAGCTGGGAACAACCCAGCCATCAGGGAATAAATAATGACTATGAACAAGCAAGGCATACTATAAGAATCCAGATCAGGGTTAGTTTCCCAAGTATTCTCTAACAGGAACTCTGCTATGGGGCTGAGTCGGCACTGCCAACACTTGAGAACGGATCCTTGGCCTGGGCGAGAGCAGCTTCAACTGTCTGACACCAAGAGAGAGCAGCCAGAGTCCCAGCCTGTGCTCTGGCCACTACTCACTCTGTTGCTGTGGTCACTGACTCTGATGATGGGCTCATTCTTCCTGAGATCCCACACAACTGCCCTGCCGCTGGGGTGAGCAGAAGACAGAATGTGCTGGACTTGGCGGTTCCAAGACAGGGCTCTGATGTCTTCTGGGGGTTTCTGAGGCAAGATGGTGAAAGCGACAACCTGTCATAACCTGATAAAGTGAAACCTACCATTCTGCTCCTCCCAGCAACCCACACTAAGCCCAAAGGAGGCAAGAGCTTCCTCCCACTAAGACAGCCTAGGAGCTGAGGGCACATTTTCCCAGAAAGGCTTTAAGATATTGGTACAATACTCCTTTCCCATTCTGTAGGCTGCTGTTTTGCCCTATTGATGGTGTCCTTTGTCTTATAGAAACTTTTCAATTTCATGAGGTTCACTTTATTAATTGTCGATCTTAGTGCCTGTGCTATTGATGTTCTCTCCAGGAAGTGGTCTCCTGTGCTAGGTTTGAGACCATTTCCCACTTTGTCTTCTATCAGGTTCAGCGTATCTAGATTTATGTCGAGGTCTTTGATCCACCTGGACTTGAGGTTTGTGCAGGGTGACAGATACAGATCTATTGGCATTCTTCTACTTGCCAGGTTGCCTTGCTCAGCCTTAACACATGGGGAGGTGCTTAGTCATACTGCAACTTGATATGCCGTGTTTTGTTGATACTCATGGGAGACCTGCCCGTTCCTAAACAGAAATGGAGGAAGAGTGGATGTGGGGAGGGGGGGTGAGAACAGAGGGTATGGGGTGGGGTGGGGGCACGGGGACTAGGAGGTGAGAAAGGAGGGGAAAATGACTGGGGTATAAAATAAATAAATTTACTTTTAAAAAAGATATTGACATGGAAGTGGGCGGGAGCCGCTGGCACCCCTGGGTTTAGCTCTACACCTAAACTCTCTTAAAAAGGATAGAGCCAACATTGAAAAGTAAGCCCCTCTAGGACAGAGAAGCAGAAGAGGAGAAATCTGAGAGAAGAAGACAGATATGAAGAGCCCCAGAAAAAGTGAAGCAGAGGAAAAACTAGTGTAAGTTTCAGGAGAAGATAAGCCGATCTACAAACTGACAGAGGTCTACCCAGAGGCACACCAGAGCTGAGAGCCACACGCAGAGATGGGGTTGTCCCTCCCCACAAAAAGGATGCTGGTGTGCCCAGGGTTCTGCTCTTGATCCTTCTCTACTGCGTTCAAGGCCTACCCAGGTCTGCACCCACAACTGTGATAAACATCACTCCTGGCCTTTCTTGGTGTCTTTTGATCCCCCTGCCTTTCACTTCTTTCCAGAAGTTTCTTGAAAGCTAATGACCACCATGAAACAAGTGCTAGACACACCTCTCTCCTGACTTAGTAGTGGAGTGTCTGTCTATGGAGTTTTATTGCCCCCCAGTGGTAAAGCCTGAAATCTCTGGTACTCTGCAGGCACCAGAATTCAAAACTTTACTTGGGAAAAGTGGCTGTCTACACTAAGCTGCAGCCCTAGGCTGGAGGGAACCTCCTCACCTGTGACTTGGATCCAGGGATCATTGGAACACTCAGGTTGTTCAAATCCCAAATGAAGATTTCCGAATCACTGGCTCCTGAAGCCAGGAGATTGCCCTGTATGAATATAAATATAAATATAAATATAAATGATATTTCTAAAGACCCCCTCCTATCTCAGAAGGAGACCCACATCTGGGAAACCCAGAGCCTCCCCTATTACAGCCTGGAAGGGTTCAGAACCACAGCCTGGAGGTCACAAGAGAATGTTTCCATTCAGACACTCTGAGCCATGCCTTGACACTATGACACACACAGTACCTGGAAGGGATTAAAGTCCAGGGCCCTGACAGCCCCTGTGTGTTTCTGTCTCTGGGCAATCAAGGGCTCCTTCTCTGAAGAAAGGATGTGGGCTGCACTGTACAGAGTAAGCATGCCATTGTCTCCTCCACCAGCAATAACCCCAGGGTTTTCCAGAAGCCCACTGCCAAAGCTTCCCCAGATTAGCTTGTGAAACCTACAAAGGAAAATAATTTAGGTACAAGGGACAGGCATCTTTGCCAGCATCAAATAAAATGCAGGCTTCCCCAGGCAAAGCTTGTATTAGCTTGACTGTTTTCTTTATTTTCTAGACCCAGAAGGGAAGTCTCCTCTGCCAAGCCTTCCCTTTCTTTAGAAAAAGTATCTCCTAGAACCCAGAAAGTCACTGTCTTGGTAATATGGGAGTATTTTGTTCATTTTAGTTTTAGGGTTTTGGTTTTTTTGTTGTTTGTTTTAGTTATTCAAGACAGGATTTCCCTGGGTAACCCTAGCTGTCCCAGAACTCTCTGTAGACCAGGGTGGCCTTGAACTCACAGAGATCCTCCTGCCTCTGCCTCCCAAGTGCTGGGATCAATCAAAGACATGTGTCACCATACTCAGCTTGTTTTTAAGTTAACATTGAGCTACATAGACACCATGATAACTATTTCAGATAGAATACATCACTTGGTCCTCATAGTTTAAACAGTAAAATAATACAACCTGACCAGGCATGGTGGCTTCTGCCTGTGCATTTGAGAATTAGAGGCAGGAGGATCAGGAATTCAGGATCATCCTCGGGCTGCATGAAACCCTGTTTTTAAATAAAAGTCAGCTTCATTTATTGATGACTTGTCATGTGGTAGATAGTATTTTAAGTGCTTTACAAGTCTTGACTAGTTTAACGTTTAGCAGTTCTATGAGGAAGTTCTTTTATACCCAGTTTCAAGTAAGGAAAGTGAACTTGGAGAAGTTATAAGCTTCTGTATACAGAGACAGTTTATCAGTTCATCTTCACAAAGCTAAGGGAGTCAAGGGCTAGAGTCTAGCCCATCTCATTCAAGAGCCTACCCTGTACAAACTAGAATCAGGTTCTCTAGAACAACAATTCTTGTCCCATCTCAAACTGGAAGTGAGAAAACCTTAGTGTCTCCCTTTCCCATGTCTTTCCCATGTGGCTAGCCCATTGGAACGAACCTGTAATCGCAATGGGCCAGCTTTGAGACACACAGGCACAAAATATTGTATGCCCAAAGTGGGAAACACTTTACTGGCTTCCTGAGGATGCTTATATAAAAACAAAACAAAACAAAAACAGTGCCAGTATTTTGCATAAAAGAAAGAGTCAACATCGGGACTCCTACAAAACAAGTTCAGGCAGGTCTTATGCAAAACCTCATGAGAAAACATTTGAAAACAGGAAGGTTTGAGTATGTGTGTGTGTGTGGGGGGGGGGAAATGTCCTGTCTCTCACTTTCACTGTGGCTAGTTGAGAGAAGATTTCACATCAAATGTCACAAGAACCCTAAGTGCAATGAAACATTTCCACACTCTGAGAAAAGTCAGCACGGGGACTGAGAGAACAAGAATTGACAGAGCAAGAGCTCTTTTACCACACATCTGAGCAGAGCCAACTTGGCAAGAGCATGGAGCTGAACACTAGTTCAGGCTGGGTCATATCTGAAGCATGGGAAGGTTATACAACTTAAGCGGCTCTGTAGCTACCACCAGACTGTGAGCAGCTTCCTAAAGTGGTACCAATCTTTACAGAGGCAAAGGATGCGTTCATACAGACTCAAGAGGGTGTCATGTCATCATATGAGAACTGTGGTGATACCCTCTTTGAACAAATAAAGCTTGCCTGAAGATCAGAGGGTGGAACTAGCTGTGGTGATGTATTATTTATGATCTAATAAAGCCACTGGAGATCCATTTGCAAAGCCAGTCACACTAGTTAGCTATAGAAATTAGACAGTTGCAGTACACTTTTAATCCCAGGATTCAGGAGAAAGGCAGATGGATCTTTGAGTCCAAGACCACCCTGGGCTACTGGGGAGTGAATCAGGGCTCATGCCTGTAATCCTAGAACTCATAAGAGGTATTAAGAGCCGGGCGTTGGTGGCGCACGCCTTTAATCCCAGCACTCGGGAGGCAGAGGCAGGTGGATCTCTGTGAGTTCGAGACCAGCCTGGACTACCAAGTGAGTTCCAGGACGGCCTCCAAAGCCACAGAGAAACCCTGTCTCGAAAAACCAAAAAAAAAAAAAAAAAGAGGTATTAAGACAGGAACAGGGTCTCAGAGCTGGCATTCATTCTCCAGCCACACTGAAGATAGGAAAGCATAGAGTCTCTAGTCACACTGAGGAAAGCATAGCAGTCTGAGTGAATCTGAGGAGCAGTGAAGTCGGGGATCAGTCTTAGGATCGCCCCTTTGATCTAAGCTAACATAGAAGAAGAGTTAGTAGTTGATTGCTTTGCTTTGCTGATCGTTAGCTTGAAGTTTGAACCCCAATATCAGTCTCTGGGTCTTTTATTTTTTGTGTTACAGCTAGCCACTAACTAACTATAGAGGTCTGGAGGTCTGTAAAGACAGACAAGAAGTGAGATGGCTGGGCAGAGAAAGAAATATAGGCAGGAGGAGACAGAAACTCAGTCTCTTTAGTCTGAGGATGTCATAGAGATAAGAGTTCTAGTGACTGCTGCTCTGCTTGTCTAATCTTTCAGCTTTTACCACTAATACCTGACTCTGGGTTTTTATTATCAAGACCTATTAGAACTCGTGTTACAAAGAACATGTGTTGAATTCTCTGATAAAGCTGCTTCTAGGATAATGATAAGCTACATCTAAAGAATATACAGTTCACTATTCCTACAAGAGGCCAGGAAACAGAAGGTCCAGAGAAGGGAATCTAAGTTTTAACAGAAGCCCTAAAGTGACTCAAAGAAGCAGTCAGGGGCTGGGAATCAATGTACAGAATATCAGCATTGAAGAGGAGACACTGAAATTCATAGGTAGGCACAGCCCCAGGAACCAGATCACAGGTGTTTCCAACAAAACAAAAGGGATGAAGATGAGAACTGAAGCCTACGAGATCAGGAGGCTGGACCAGTTAAGCTCATCTGAGACCAGCATTTAGCACCTCGTGATTGCAAACACCTGTGTATAAATTCTCTCATGGTTTGATTCACTTCTTCATTCTAGGTTTTGCTTTCATTTAATTGAATTCCTTTTGAAAAAAATCTCAACTTCATAAGAGTTAACTAAGTTGAAAAAGAGTTTGTCCACATCCAGTCTCCTTAAGAGGTAGAACAGAGGAAGCAGGCCCTGGTTAGGGAGCGACAGTGGGATGGATGGGGCCACTGGAGGGGCAACACACACACACTTCTTTTTTTGTTGTTGTTGTTTTGTTTTTCGAGACAGGGTTTCTCTGTATTGTTTTGGAGGCTGAACACACACACTTCTGAATGCCTGACACACAGGCTCTCTACTCTGTCCCTACTTCCTATCCTGAATGAACAGTGGAGGAAATAGTCATAAAAGTTGGATTCTATGCCCGAGAAGACAGGAAACAACAGAACTGAGGTTTGTACCTGTGTTAATGAAACAATAAAGGCCACATTCTCTCTATCCTATGATTCCGATACAGCTAGAAGGAAGGTGAGTCTTAAGCACAGAACTACTAGGAGAAGCATACGCAATGACTTTCTTTCCAGCTTGGCGTTTATTGTCCCTTAGCACACAAAGTAAGAGAGGTCAACCTTGTTCTCCAAGTTTCCAGAGACCTGAGATAAAGGTATGAGGAGCCCACTTTTCTCTATGTTGTTACAGGATGGGGTCCTGCAGATATTCAGAAATCCAGAGTCTTAGTGAAAGCTACAGGAAGAGAGAGGCAGGTCACCCAGTGACCACCAACCTCATTCTGCCATAGCCTCTGCCTCCCCAGCCAATGGCATAAGAAGATTCTCCTCAAACCCTTCTTCCATGGTGACATTTGTCTAGCAAACCATGCATGGCTTCTTCAGTGCAGACACTCATCTGCACTGAACCATCTCCCAAATCATGACATGGAAATTTCTTATTAATTATGAATGCTCAGCCTTAGCTTATGCCTGTTTCTGGCTAGCTTTTTTTTTCTTTAATTTAAATTGTTCTTCTTCATCTGTGTTTTGCTTCAGAACTTTTTACCTTTTTTTCATTCTGTATGTCCTACTCCGTGTGTGTGTGTGTGTGTGTGTGTGTGTGTCTGTTTGTCTGTCTGTCTGTCTGTCTCTCTTAGACGCCTCATACTACTTATTCCCTCTGCCTGCCAGCCCCACCCATTTCTCTTCCTGCATAGCTATTGGCTGTTCAGCTTTAATTAGACCAATCAGGTGCCTTAGGCAGGCAAGGTAAAACAAATGCAACACATATTTACAAACAAATGCAGCATAAACAAAAGCAACACATCCTTACATAGTTAAATATTCCACAACATAAACAAATGTAACACATCTTCTTTTTTTGTTTGTTTTTGTTTTTTATTTCGAGACAGGGTTTCTCTGTATTGTTCTGGAGACTGTCCTGGAACTCACTCTGTAGACCAGGCTGGCCTTGAACTCACAGAGATCTGCCTGCTTCTTCTTCCTGAGTGCTGAGATTAAAGGCATATGCCACCAATGCCTGGCAACATAACACATCTTTACATAGTTAAAGTAATATTCTGCAACGTTTGCCCATGATGTCTCTTCAGTCTATCCACAGCTTAAGCTGGCCCTTAGTGATGCCTTCATAGGTACTTCAGAATATTGTTTTCCACCAGATGTTCCTAGATAGGGAATATTTCTCAGAAGCATCATAAATTGAGAAAAGGGGACAGCTTGAGGGCCCGATCTGACTGAGGGTGTGAAGAAAACAGTGGGCAGAGGAAAGGGGATTTTGAAAGAATATATCCAGTGCTGTGAAGAGATGCAACGACCCTGGCAACTCTTACAGAAGAAAACATTTAATTGGGGCTGGCTTACAGTCCAAAGGTTCAGTCCATTATCATCACGGTGGGAAGCATGGTGGTAGCGTGCAGGCAGACATGGTGCTGGAGAGGAAGCTGAGAGTTTACATCTGGATCAGCAGGCAGCAGGAAGAAAGAGTGACATTGGGCCTGGCTTGCCCCAGTGGAAACCTCAAAGCCCACCCCTAGTGACACACTTCCTCCAACAAGGTCACACTGTCCAACAGTGCCACTCCCTATGAGTTTATGGGGACCGTTTTCATTCTGATCACCACACGGTTTCATTTTACATTTATTATTAACACTGCGTTTGTACATGGGATCCGTGTGGCATGCGCTACAGCGCCCATGTGGAGGCCAGAGGGCAACGTTGTGGACTTGCTTACCCCTTCCACCTTCGCACAGGTGCTGGAGACTGAACTCCAGCCACCAGCCTTGCAGTAAGCACCTTTTCCTGATGTGTCACCTTGACAGGCCCCAAGAAGTTTTAAGGGAAGAAAGGGAAAGGAGAATCCCCACAGAGAAAGTGGGAGAGAGTGAGTGTAAGATCTGGATGCATGTATCAGCAGGTTCTTAGAAATTATCTTGTGTGACTTCTTCAAAAGTGAGAGGATTCAAGCCAACCAACGTAACTTGCTAAAATGTTCCGGTTTAATTAGCATCACAGCTCATCACAACACAACACCACAACACAACACCACACAACACCACACCATAACACAACACAACACCACAACACAACACCACACAACTGTGCTTTCCATGACAGCATGCATAAGATGACTTGCAGAAGACAAGAAAGATAGGGCCAATAATAATCAGATGGAAGGTTGCCTTCAAGACCAGAAATCTCTGAATTAGAGTAGGCAAGAAAATGTGCTGGGCTATAGAAAAAGATTTACATACTTCGTGTGTGTGTGTGTGTGTGTGTGTGTGTGTGTGTGTGTGTATGTGTGTGTACACATAATCTGTAGTATGATAATATATGTATATTACTTACATCAAATATGAAGTGGACTGTGATGAATATTCATGTGTTTTCTGATGGCATAAAAACTTACAGACTATTATATTATACTACAAGAACCATCTTCACAAAACCCTTAAAAAGGCAATGGAGAGCCAGGTACAGTGGCACACACCTGTAACATCAGGTACTCAGGAGGCTGAGTTGGGAGGATTGTGAGTTCAAAGCCAGCCTTAGCAAGACCTTGTCTAAAAAAAAAAAGCAAAAGCGATGAAACAATAGAAAGAAGTAGACTTAGCACTCAGACAGGAACATACTTAAATTCCAAGCCCAGCTTCTCAGGGGTTCCATTACCCATGTGAAATGGAGATAACGGTGTTTACAATTTTGGCTTATTCTGAGGAATGGGTAAAACAAACAGGGTCCCAGTGATACTACCTTGCATGTTAAGCTCTACAAGGACTTCTTGTGAACATTTCTGTCAACAAAGAGAGTGAATGATCCTTTCTTCATTGCTGTTACACAATATACCCAGGAAATCCATGAGCATCCAGCTTGCCAGAGCCATGAAATCTATGAGTACCCAACAGCACCTGAGAGTCATGAGTAGGTCGTTCTTTCTCCTCCTTGTTGGCAGAAGAGTGTGACGCTGTGTAAGGGTGTTGTCTTAACAGGTGCTGCTTACCGGTGAAGTGAAAGAGGGTGACTTTCAAATCCTCTTGCACAGAATTAGCTCCCCCAAGACTAAACAAAACTCCTATTCCCCATACTTATGGAATTGTGATCCCTGAGTTGTACACGCCTCCCCAGGACCCTCTATTAGTATACTCATCAGGGTCTGACCTGAAAACCCATGCATAGTCCCAACATAGTACCTGCTTGAGACAGAAAGAATTCCTTTGTGTTTCAAGTCCAGAGAGGAGTCCCTGAAATCAACCTCAAATATTTCCAATGTGGCATTTGTGCTAAAGGAAGCATCTAGTTGCTGGGCAGATGTTCCTAGTCACAAGAGAAGTGAGGAAGAGGCAGCAAATGAACAACAATACATGCGTGGATTCAGGACGTAAATACAGTAGTGAGTGGAAAGCAAACAACAGGAGAGAGTTAGGGGTACCCTCCCTCAAGAGGTAACCCCAAGGACAGCATGAGGTGGTCACTCTTAAGCCATGGCCCCAGGTGGTTACCAGGTACCCAATCTAACAATCCTACAGCTCCCTCTCCTGTTCTTTAAAGAGTTGTAGATGCTAAATTTTCCTTTGACATACAACTTCCAGTGGCTCCTGATTCAAATTATTATCATACCTGTGGCCAGATACACAGGGTACTGGCTGGCTGGGCTCCAAGCTTGTACAGCTGGCTTCTCAAGTTCCTTCAACTTCATGGTCTGTTCTGTAGGTTGCAGAAAACATGTATGGCCCTTGGCTCACTGAAAATAGAAACCAAAAATCTTAGGGCCAGAGATCCAGGGAGCATCTGAGGACACAGGTATTGTCTCTCTTCTCCACAAGATGAAGTATTTCAACAAAATGCAGAATGAGAAAAACAGGATCACCTTCAGCGTTAAGGGCATTTCGTTTATAAAATTGCTAAAATTGAATTATCTAAACTCCTAAGGTATTTAATCACAATGGTTACCACAGGTCTAATGAAAATAGATAATTAGAAACTAGATAATCATCAAACTAGATAATTTCTCAGTGGCTTTGCCTGATTTCCATGGTTTTAAATATTGCTTATGAGCCAATGAATCCCATATTTGTTTTATTGACATACAGCTGTCCTCAGAGCACCAATTTCTATATGAAACTGCTAATCAGATATTTCTACTTGTGACACATACCTATAATCCTAGCACTCAAGAGTCCAAGACAGTAGTAGGTCATAAATTCAGGCAAGCCTGGGTTACATACATAGCAAAACCTTATCTTTAAAAAAAATACACTCACAGAGATATAGCAAAGATACCCAAGTCGTCTGGCTACAAAAGGATTTTCTCTCCTACCATATCTTCCCTACACTCTTCTGTTCATTAAACTTTCTTCATCATGATAAATGGTATTTCTACATACCCAATCTCTCAGCCCAGAAACATGAAAATCACCTTCGATCTTCCCGTTTTCCCTTTTCTTTTTTTTTTGTTTTGTTTTGTTTTGTTTTTTTCCGTTCTCCCTTTTCTAATCCATCATTTCATCTCCCTGATTTTAATGCCCTTACCTCTACATCCACGGCCACCAGCCCAATTGAAGGTATTATAATCTTTCACCTGTATTACTACTAAAGTCTTCGGATGACACTCTCCTTGCTACCCATGCCATCATCTAATTCATTTTCCACCTCAAACTAGGAAATTGGCATTCCGTGCACTCAATCAGTGACCTAGCACTGTAGATGCAAACTTAGGCTTCAGCTGACCACTACATCTTACTGGTTTTCCTCTTGGGCATTGTACGACAGTCACACAATGGCTTTTGCCTACACTGGAGCCTTTGCAAATTCTGCTTCCCACATACTGTGGGCTTTCCCCTTTACTCCCCATGGCTAGCTCTATATCAAATCTCTCTGGGTGAGCATATAACATCTTCAGAGGTGACCTGCCCAACCCGAAACAGTCTCACTTGTTTTCTTTCTAACAATTTATTTGTTTACAGTCAGTCTCTTCCACCAACAGCTTCATAAAAGCCAGCATCATGTATTACTATGTTCTAACTACTGCTCAAACATACGACTAATACAGAGCAAGTGATTGGTATCTGAGGAACAAATGAATTAAATATTCATTTTCCTTTTGTTTTGTTTCATCATTTAAGTATTTATGTTTATTTTATGTGTATGAGTGTTTTGCCTGCATATACATACGTCTGTGTACCACAAGGGTGGGTGTCTAATGGCTTCAGGTCAGAAGAGTGTCAGGTTCCTTGGAACAGGAGTTACAGACAGTTTTGAGGTACCATGTGGGTGTTGGGAACCCACCCCGAATCATCTGCAAGAGCAGTATGCTGCTGCCCCTACCCACAGGGCCATCTTTTCTTTCCTTTGGGGCACGGTCTCACATAGCCCAGACTACCCTCAAACTTGCTGTGCAACTGAGAACAGTATTCATCCTCTTGCCTCTAAATCCCGTGGATTACAGGTGTGAACCGCCACACCGCATTCATTTAACTCCGTGATCTCCACTTCTAATGTACATTCAGGGTCTCTCCTCACAGGCTAGCAAAAGGTAAAGGGGGAACTAAGCGCCTGCTGTGACCTGCTTGAGCAAGGCAGCCAGAACAGACTCACCTATAAAACAGGAGACATTACTTAATCTCTACTTTCCAGCTTGAAGAAAGCTTACAGCTGTCAGGTAAGCTAAGATTTTTCTGGGAACTTCTTAAACACTTGGAGCTCCGCTTTGTCTTTTGACCAGCAAACTACTCTAGTCTGTCACCAGTGACACCTGCTGGTCAAGCCATTCGGTACAGAAGAGCAGCGATCACCAACAGCGCAGTTGACAAGACACAACCCACTAGTTTCCCAAAGAGTTCCACAAACTGTTATCCCCATTCTACACAGAAACCGGCCAAGCCGCAAGGTAAACCCCGAGCTTTTAACAATTATATTAATTTAAGCAAAACGTCATGACGTGCTTAAAGTTGACAGAACAGAGGGACAGAGGACATGCGCTTCCCATACGGTTTGCTCTAAGGGAGGCATCAGTTTATAAAAGCCCCCCAGCTAGGTCAGAACGGCTGGGGCAGCGGAGGGATGGGATGGGGTCGGGGAACGACGAGCAGGGCGCCAGCTACCCTGGGCAGTCCAGTCCCCAGGGAGAAGGTCAACACAGCTGCTCGCCCGCCGACCGCCATACGAGGCGCTTCACGGTCAGTTACGAATGGCCAGGACCCCGAGACTGGGTGCGGGCTCCCGGGAGGGCCAAGTCAGGGCCCGGGGTGAGGAGAAGGCGCGCGCAGCGCTTCTGGACCTTGTCGGGGCTGGGGACCCGGCGTGGCAGGGGAGCGGGACCGGGTCCACTCGGAGGGATTCGCACTGGGTGCTCCAGAGGCGCAGTGGCCTGGGCGGGGTCTCGGCGCCCTCTGCGGGAAGAGCGGTGCTCCGGGGCCGCAGACCCTCGGAGAAACCCACCTGTGCAGAGCGCCCGACCGGGTCATGGGCCACAGCCAAGCGAAGGGCTTTAGGGCGCGTGTCGCAGAGGACGGAGGCTGCCGAGGCCCAAAACTAACCTCGCTTTGGCTGCGACCCGCTCTCTCCACTCACTCAGCAGAGGCAAGTAACGCGAGCAGGGCTGATTCACTTGCTCGGTGATTACACAGTTCAGATCAATACTCGTCTCCTCTATTTGAGTCGGGCTTCACTGATAGCCTATGTACGGAAAGGATAGACATTAATTCAATTTATTATGTAGTTATTAAAGCGAGGGAAGACCTGACCCTTACCCCATGAGCTCTCAGTGTGATCCATTTAGTTAAGAAAGATAAAAAGCAATCGAGGCTGTAAATAGCAGTGATATACCCTGAAGCCCACCACTAGCGGTGTCCACTGATTAAGGGCTGTGTGTGGAAGGAGAGACGACTATGGACCAGGGGCTTCAGGGAAGAATTCAAGCACATCCCAGAGACACGGGCATTACTCCTTGGAACTGAAAGAACACTAGGTGATTCAACAAAATGGGGCAAGGTGTCTAGGAGTCCTGGCATTTCCCACCCCATAAATCGACGAGAATGGACGAGAATGGGTGCCGATAGATTGTGGAGCACCAATTAATTCTGCGGTTAATAGGGAGTTATTGAAAATTTGGGGCCAGAGGCACTAGTGACCACTGTATTTTGCATCGGGCAGTATGAATCCGATGGAGAAAGGAAAGCTGGAGGCAGACATCTGTAGTGATATATTATTTATGATTTATTAAAGCTGGCCTGGGCCAGGCGTTGGTGGCGCACGCCTTTAATCCCAGCACTAGGGAGGCAGAGGCAGGTGGATCTCTGTGAGTTCGAGACCAGCCTGGTCTACAAGAGCTAGTTCTAGGACAGCCTCCAAAACAATACAGAGAAACCCTGTCTCGAAAAACCAAAAATAAATAAACAAATAAACAAACAAATAAATAAATAAATAAAATAAAGCTGGCCTGAGGATTCAGAAAAGCGAAGTCAGCCTCAAGCGATAGAGGTCAGGCAGTGGTGACACACACCTTTGAGCGCAGCAGCCAGAAGCTAGGAGGTGGTGGTACACACTAATCCTAGGACTCAGGGTTAAGAGGTAGACAGATCTCTGTGATTCCAAGGTCATCCGGAGCTACACAAGAGTGAATGAGTCTAAAAGAGAGAGTTATAACTCCCACCTTTAATTCCAACATTAGGGAAGTATATAAGACAGAAGCAAGGTCTCAGAGAGGCGTTCCTTCTCCAGCCACACTGAGGAGAGGCAGCAGCTTGAGACCTGGTAAAGAGTTTGTTTGTGGATCAGCCCTTTCAGCCTGAGCTAGAGGTGAGAGTTGGTGGCCGGCTGCTCTGCTTCTCTGATCTTCAGCTTGAAGCTTGAACCCAGTGTCAGTCTCTGGGTCATTTATTCATTTGTGTTACGGAGCTCCATTCACAAGAGGAAGAGAACAGTGCAGGACCAGTGAAGGAAGCCTGGGTTAACAGTTAACTGAAGGAGACAGCAGCACTGGCTCTCCTGACTGATGAAGATAAGGATTCAAGACTGTTTTAGAGCAGTTCTCAAGCTGTGGGCCGGATGACTCTTTCACGGGGGTCGCCTAAGACCATCAGAAAACACAATAGTTCGTAACAGTAGCAAAATTACAGGGACAGCATCGAAAAAAATTTCATAGTTGGGGGTCACCCCAACACGAAGCAACTCTATTAAAGGGTCACAGCATTAGGAAGGTTGAGAAGAACTGTTCTACAGTCAGAGATGCTGTGGCACTCTTAACAGAGCTAGAGATTTTGAGGAAGAGAAAAGAGATGGTGAAGATATCAGTTGAGGGAACTGTGCCAGGTGGAGATAACCAAGTCATTCAAACTGACTCACCTCTGAAACTGATGACAGACTCAATAGTTTTGAGATCAGACAGACATCCGCATGTGGCACTATTTGCACCTGGGCCATTCTTGCTACAGACTAAGAATTTACCATTCCTTTTTTGATGTCCTAGCACAGAAACAGGTAAGACCTGTGGTGGAGTGAACAAGGGCAATGACTGATGGAACCTTAGAGGCTGGAGGCTTGGACCAGTTGGTAGACTGCTTACCCCCCCCCCCCCATGCTTGAAACCCTGGGTTTATTTCCCAACACCATATAAACCAGCTATGGTGGTGGCTACCTTGGAATTCCAGTAATCAGAAGGTAGAGGCAGTAGGATTGAAAGTTCAAGGTCATTTCAGCTACACAGTCAGTTCAAGGTCACCTGGACTATGTGAGACCCTCTCCCTGTCTCTCTCTCTCTTTCTCTTTCTGTCTATGTCTCTCTCACACACACACATACAAAAGCTGAAACTTGGCCAATACCTAAAATTAGGGACTAAAGCAGAAGTATCAACCATACTGATGGAGTACTAAAAGAAATCTGAACTAAAGTCATAAGGTGCAATTCCCAGCAGCCACACTGCAGCTTCTAACTTTCTGTCTCTAGTCCCAGAGTATCCAGTGCCATCCTCTGGTGGTACACAACCATGTACATGCAGGCAAAACATATATGTAAAAGTAAATAAATAAATGAAAATTAAAAACTAAGACACGATTAAAGAAAAGAATACATCTTTCTAGAAACATCTTTTAAAATGGCATTTATTGTGTGCATGTGTGTTGATGCACACATGCTATGGCACATATGTGAAGGTCAGAGGACACCCTGTAGGAATTGCTTCTCTCCTCTCACGACGTACGACCTGAAGACTGAACTCATGTTGTCAGGCTTGGTTGTCAGCAAACACCTTTACCCACTGAACATTTTCAATAAATCTAAACAGTCTTCAAAAGGTGACATTTTCAGTAAATGTCACCACTACCTACCTAATTTTACAAGGTTCTCTTTCACTGCCCAGATAACCACTGACATCCCACATCTAACTTGAATTGTGTGGTGTTTGAATAAGAATGGCTTCCATAGGCTCATATATTTGAATGCTTAGTCACCACGGAGTGGAACTTCTTGAAAGGATTAGAAGGACTACAGATGTGGTTTTGTTGGAGGACATATACTGTGGTGGTGTGAAGAAGTCTGCCCCCCCATAGACTCATGTGTTTGAATGCTTTGCTCATAGGGAGTGGCATTATTGGGTGTGGTCTTGTAGGTAAAAGTATGTCACAGTGTGGTATTGGAAGATGTCATTCTGTAAAAATGTGTCTGATTGGTTTGAATAAAGCACTGTTGACCAATATGGAAGCAAAATAGGTGGGACTAGGAGTCGAGTAGGATTCTGGGAAAAAGACACACAGGCAGAGACAATATAGGCCTCCAGAGGAGTAAGAGGTCTGGTAAGAGAAATACTTAGATTAATAATTATGGGTTAAATACTTAAGTCAGAGCTAGCCAGTAAGAAACAAACAAATGGCCAATAGCTTCATAATTAATATAGTGTCCTGTGTGTTATTTGGGGACTGCAACTGTGGCAGGGCCCAGGCGACTGGCAGGGAAAACTACACTCTACAGTGTGGTCAGGTTTTGAGGTCTCACTCATATGCCCAAGCGACTCTCAGTGTGGTACACAGTTCACGTCCTGTTGCCTGTGGACCCAAAAGTTTCAGCTACCTTTTCAGCACCATGCCTGGCATGACAATAGGGACTAAACCTCTGAACTGTAAGCTAGCCCCAAATAAATGTCTTCCTTTAAGAGTTGCTGTGGTCATGTTATCCCTTCACAGCAATAGAAACCTAAACATAATTGTGTCAAAGGTTTCAAAACTCCATCCCAGACTCAATCAGTCTCTCCTCCCTGTAGATCAGGATGTAGCTTCCACTATGCCTCCAGCACCATGCCTGCCTGCCTGCCTGCCACCATGCTCCCCACCATGACGATAATAGACTAGTCCTCTACAGCTGTAAGCAAGCCCAGCCTAAATGACCTTTTCTTTCTTTCTTTCTTTCTTTCTTTCTTTCTTTCTTTCTTTCTTTCTTTCTTTCTTTCTTTCTCTCCCCTCCCTCTTTTCTTTTTCCTGAGACAGGGTTTCTCTGTAGCTTTGGAGGCTGTCCTGGAACTAGTTCTATAAACCAGGCTGGCCTCAAACTCAAGAGATCCACCTGTCTCTGCCTCCCCAGTGCTGATATTAAAGGTGTGCACCACCACCGCCCAGCTAGATGCTTTCTTTTCTGAGTTCCCTTGGCCGTGGTGTCTCCTCACAGCAATAGAACAGTGACTAAGTCAACTGTGTTTATTTGTACAGATCATAGGAGATTCATGCTTTCTTATGAGTCAGGTTTCCAAGTGAGATAAGGTTAAGAAAATATTCTACTTTTAATCTCAGCCAGGGTTACATAGAAAGACTGTCAAAAAATAAATAAATAAAAAGAGATAAAACCCTAAACAGAGTTATGTTGGTTCACCTGAAAAAGCGGATGCATTGACACAGGGAGTCAGTCCCTGAGAAAACTCCTTGATGGGCATTGTACTCAACTCATCTTTGGATATACCTAACACACTGTCATTTTATAAAACCCAGAGATGATAAAGCATTTCTTTTATTTGCTGGAGTTTCAAACATGAACCACCACATTTCCTTCTGTCAACTGTTACCCTCCTTTAAGTCTGACACACGCTTGGTTTGCCTTGAAGCTCATAACCCTCAGACTTCAGTGGTTATACCAGTGATGTCTACTTGATGCACCTTACTGCTTAGTTCACAAGACTGCAAATGTGGCTATTTTGTAAATTATTCAGTGACCACCCTGATGACTGTTGCTTTCTTATAAATTTTACTCTGATCACTATATTTTTAATTCTTTTTAAATTTTTTTTTGAAAAATTGTTTTGGTTTTTTGAGACAGGTTCTTAGTATATACCCTTGGTTGTCCTGAAACTCATTAAGTAGACAGGCTAGCTTCTAACTCACAGATCCACCTGCCTCTGGCTCCCATTTACTGGAATTAAAAGCATGTGCCACCACACCCAGCCTTATTATTTTTTTAGTGTTTGCCTGAAGTCTGATACCACATGTAGTGTTCCCGGAGGCTAGAAGATGATTCAGATCCCCTGGGGCCGAGTTGCAGATGGTTGTGAACCATGTGACTAATCACTACAGATTTGAGAACTTTAGACTGTCACCTCCAAATATGACATTTAGAAGTCAGGATTGGAGTAGTTCTCAGTAACACATGTTCCTTTTAGACAAAATGGCCATGATGTCCTTGCATATTCTTTGGTGATGTATGCATATAATTTTTATCTGTGGTTGACAAAGTATGTTTAAAAAAATTTAAGGCTGGGCAGTGGTGGTGCATGCCTTTAATCCCAGCACTTGGGAAGCAGAGGCAGGCGGATCTCTGTGAGTTCAAGGCTGGGCTGGCCTGACAGCCTTCAAAACAATACAGAGAAACCCTGTCCTGTAAAACCAAAAAAAAAAAAAAAAAAAAAAAAAAAGATGAATTATGATAAGACTCTCAAAAAACATGGTTTTCTTCTAAGGCTGTTACAGGAGCTTGGATGCATCCCAGAATTCACAATACTGGCAATAACCTTATTCCACCATATACCTGAAACACATTACTTTCTTTTAAAACCTAATTATTACTGAAGCTTAAATAAATGGTCTTTGTTTTGAAAACAGTCTTACTATACAGTTCAGGATTGCCTCAAACTCACTACACAGCCTAGACTAGTCCTGAACTCACAGAGATCCTCCTGTCTCAGCCTCCCAAGTGCTGGGGTTAGAGGTATGCACCACACGTCTTTTAAACTAAAAACTATTAATTAAAAGTTTCGGGTTGTTTTGATTTTTATAGCCTCTCTAAGTAGCCCAGGCTGGCCTCGAACTTGCATAATCCTACCTCAGCTTCCTGCATTATACATATGCTACACAAAATTGGGAAGTCTTTCCTTCTCTGGTCCTGTAAATAAGAAAAGGACTGGCCTTTTACTACCTGCTACGTACCCTGCAGCTCTCAATCACCTTCACAGCCCCAGTGGAATGCACTAATATCTTCTTCCACTCATCTCCTAATTTCCCTCCCATCCTTCCCATTTCAGGGCAGGCAGGCAGCAGGTGGAGGGAAAACATGAGGGTGAGGCTCTCCCAGCAGTGACCACTCCTGAGGAAATGAGGCACAGGAACCATGGTACTGAGTTTATTAGTGCTTTCATTAAGGTTAACCCTCTAGGAATGAGGGAGTCCTCGTTAGAGGACACAGATCCCATGAAGCCGCCTCAGATGTCATAGTGAACCACTGGCTCGGGTTCTTTGGTAGGGTCGCCGCCTCGTTCCAGGTACAGATCATTGTAAGGGTACTGCTTCGGCCCCTGAGGAAGAAAACAAAAGCCAAAGTCCACACAGGTCAGCAAGAAAACCAGTCAGCCAGCCAATACCCGACTTCACCCTACTCCAGTTAATAATCATGCAGAGCAAATGGGTACCCAGTAGCCTCTGGTCAGACCCAGCTGAGCTAAAATGGCAGAAGCAAGACTCCTTGCCCTGCTCAAGCCACAGCAGAGAAACAGCCTACACTGTAAGAGAAGTGGTGCCTGCCCTGCAAGGGAGAAGGGGGGGGGGGGAGTCCGAGCAAAGCTTTCTAAATGAGACGATGCATCCATCCATGCCATTCTCCCGGGGTCGAGACAGACTCAATCTCCTTTAAGTCACTCAGCCTCTAATGGTTCCACCGCTAAAGTGGCCTAGCAAATGAGGCGTGCAGGAGCGGCGGTGGGGGAAAAGCACAGAGGAGACATGGCTGGGACATGCTTTAGGAGCTGCTGGCTTTACCAACAAACAGCTGCCAGAGAGCCCAGCTCACAGGGAGGAGGAAGGGTGGTGTGCTTACAGAATTGAAAAATGGAAGAGCCACACTGTTTCCCGCTCTCCTGAAGTGAAGTTAGTGCTCACCACTGCCCCATATGCTCTCCAGCAGAGAGTCCCTGGGGCTTGGCAAGAAGTCTCGTGTCAGTGCACATGGCCGTCCCGGCTACCTTAGGACATAATCTCTGCAGAGGTAGCACTGGGCAGCTGACAGCAAGCACAGCCGCTTCCCTGCCTGTGGTTCTCTTTCCAACACTCTGGAGACTACTCCCAGATTCATCTTCCTAAGAACCTGGCCCTTATCATGCCAGTCTCCTAGTCAAACCAGAAATAGCTCTCTGGTACTAAAGGTGGTCCCAGACATCCCTGCATCCCTACCCCATGGTACAGTACATCTGGTACACAGTAGAGGGTGTATAAATATTTGTTCAGCTAATACATCACTGTGCCATCGAGTTCAAATTCTCAGCTATGCAATAAAACCTGCCCAATAGCCGGGCGGTGGTGGCACATGTTTAATCCCAGCACTCGGGAAGCAGAGCCAGGCAGATCTCTGTGAGTTCAAGGCCAGCCTGGTCTACAAGAGCTAGTTCTAGGACAGTCTCCAAAGCCACAGAGAAACCCTGTCTGGAAAAAAAAAAAAGCTGCCCAATGGAACTAATCAATTCACCTCACAATGTTTTCAGTATTGTGATCTTCAATTCTAGATGCATTTTATAATTACCTAGAGATTGTTGAGAATATTGATTCCAGAACCCTATTGTGGAGCCATAGAATTAGGACTTCCAAGAACCAGGCCTGAGGAATATGAATGTATTGTAGTAGTTCTCTAGGAAACCCACATCGCTGGCTATCAGAGAACTGTTTTCTGTAGTGGCAGCTTGAAATCTTTGAATATTTTAAAATTACATTTACTTATTTAATATCTAGGTGTGTGGCACACTCTTGTCATGGCACTCACATTAGTCAGTTCTCTCCCTTTCCCCATGGGGGTCCCAGGGACTGAACTCAGATCATTAGTCTTGGTGGCAAGCGTCTCCACCCACTGAGCCCTCTCATTGGCCTTATTTTTATATATCACCTAACTCACCATCCTTCCCACTCCTATAGTTCTCACTTGTCCTTCAAGGTCTCTGATTTCCCTACACCCAAATCCTATCTTTTCAGCTTCTGGTTTTAATCCTACTCCCTTGCAGCAGCTTGCCCCAGTCGGTACGTTATTATAGGCATACATATACAAACCACACCAGGCTCTCATATGCACGTTCAAATGACACTCATTACGTCATTTATCTAAAATTTCTTTAAATGCCCTTTAAGCTGGAAGGTATATTTTCTATGTCCTTTGAATTCCTTGAAACATGACTGTCTACGCTTACCATAGACAACTTTTCCAGTACCCTGCAGAAAGTGCCCTTCATGTGTCCAGCACAGGATAAGGTTTCAGGATAAGGTTGTGACTCTGCCTTGAAAGGCCATTCACTAAAATACACCTGGAAACTCTGAAGACGAGCTTCCACATTCTCATCCACTATTTAGTGAAGGCCGTCTTTTCAATTAGACTGGTCCACGTGTGGCAGAGGTGGAGCAGTGCTCTGATGCTTGTGCTGGGCTCCTAGGTAGGCCTTCCATTTTCCCATTTTCTAAAATTCTAGGAAGTCAAACTTGGTACTGGCTAGTTTCCTACTCCAGAGATTTCACGACCTCAGGGAAGGAGGTGAAGCAGATGTGCTTTGGGGAACACTTAAAATACTCACCACAGGCTGGTAGGAGGGGAAAGTCTCCCCAACCCAGAACATGAAAGCCATGAAGGCCACAAAGCCGAAGAGATGTTTACACATGACATTCCAAGAGACAGGTGTAGGGGACGTGTCCACACGGTTCCTGATAAACATGTCTAGGTCCCAGTGCACCTGTAGCAGAAAGGCTATAAACATCACAAACTACTCTTCCTACAAAACACAGGTATGCTGGCTGGTCTTATGTCAACTTGAAACAATCTAGAGTTATTTGAAAGAGGGAAAACTCAAAGGAGAAAATGCCTCCATAAGATCCGGCTGTAAGGCATTTCCTTAATTAGTGATTGATGTGGGAGGGCCCAGCCCATTGTAGGTTGCACCACTCCTGGGCTGCTGGTCCTGGGTTCTATGAGAAAGCAGGCTGAGCAAACCATGGGGAGCAAGCCAGTAAGCAGCACCTCTCCATGGCCTCTGCATCAGCTCCTGCCTCCAGGATCCTGCCCAGTTTCAGTTCCTGTCCTGACTTACTTTGATGATGAACAGTGCTAAGGAAGTGTAAGCCAAATAAACCCTTTCCTTTCCTTTTTCATCACAGCAATAGAAACCCTAACTAAGACTGCAGGCGATCTAGAATGGCCAGAGCCTGATACAAGGCTCAACAGAACCATTCCACTCCCTTGAGGCAGGCCCAAGACACAGCCAGCAAAGAAGAGTGCTGGCTTCATCAAAGGTAGCTCAAGCAGGACATGCACGAAGTTCACAGGACACAGGACTCTGGGTAACCCTCTAAGTTCCACCCTATGTCCCACATGTAGAACTGAGTCTCACATCACTGGACATTGCTTCTTTGAGTAGAAAAGCTTAGCAAAAAAGTGCTACATGAACTAAAGAGAGTCCCAGGAGAACAGAAGAAAGCTGAGAGGAAGTGAAATGGACAATGGCGTTCTCACCGTCTCGCCCCAGTTCAACCTCAGGTCCGGGTGGTCCCACTCATACCATGGGTCCCTCTCCTGCTGGGATCGGTCAGGGAGCTTCGGGTAGTCACCGCGCCTGAAAGACAGCCAGCGAGAACTTCTGGAAAGGGCTGTGAGCAGTCGCTGACAATTCAGAGTCCTCATCTCAAAGAGCAGAATATAACTACTTCATTTAAGGATAGAAGAACATACCCCAAATCAAGATCTCAAGCTCTAGGACTACTAAAAGAACAAAAAAGTTCCAACTATAATGAGAGGCGATGTTAAATTCTGAAACAACATGGCCTTATCCTCTTTTACAAAGAAAAGTCACACAACGCTATAATTGGACTGAAAGGGAATTTTAGCAATCAGTTATTCCATTCCTTCCATCAGACAGATTCTAAATACAAAGCCATCCACATCTGTTGGAATAAAAACAATAAAGGGTACAGACTAGGAAAGGCCCCTTCTCCTCCATAGCTACTGGGCTCCTTAAACACAAGTTGATGTACACCCTCGTGCTCAAGACACCTCATAGGAGGTTTGCTTAGCTGGGTTCTCCCCCAACGAATCCAAGTTTACCTTATAGAGACTACTTTCCAGGCTGTTCCTGTCCACAACACAGCTAAACAAACAAACAAACAAACAACAAAACCAGAAAATGGTGGTAACGGGACACGTGTCAAAGAAACTGACTGGGAAACAGGACAAGAGGTGCGGATAGGAGAAACTCTAACACAGGAAGTGGGGGTGATGATTGCCCACTATACATAAGTAACCATGCTACGTGGATACAGGGGCGAAGGGGGCTGACAGCGACTGGAGAATGAAGGTTGACGTTTAATTTGCTTAACGGTTGATGCGATTTTCACATACGTAAGGTCAAAAGGGGGAGGGGCAAATTTCTGAAGAGACGTATGCAGAGTACACCATCGTCCATAAGGTTCTTGTGACAGGGGTACAGCTCCAGGCTGGTCACGTGCCTGGATGACGGCACCTGAGCCCAGCAGATGCTCAATCTAAATGAAACCCAGTGCTCTGGATGGAGCCAAGGAAGAAGTCTGCTATTCCGGAGTCCTCGAGGGAGCCATTAAAACCTCGGCTTCCTCGTTTGAGGAAACAGCCCGAGCCAAGGAAGAAATTGAAGTTGTCTCGGCTGCAGCTGCTCACTCACGCATTCCCACCTTCCCCCACCAAGAAAAACACCCACGCCAATGACTCCGCCGGGGTCGCAAGCGGGTTTGAGAGAAAACGTCAGAGTCACACCATCCAATCCAACGGCCTTCACCCACCACTGCCCCTAAAGCGAGCAGACGCCCGCCTCACCCCATGCCATCATCCGGGTACGGCTCGTAGTCTTCCACGCGCATGTTATACTTCTTGGCGGCCGCGGCGCGTTCTTCTGGGGTCCTAGGATACGGCCCCGGCAGCATGTCCTTGGTCATGTGGAAGGCTGGACGCAGAGGGATGCAGGTCAGGGGACACGGTGCTCTAGCCACCCAGAAGCACTAAGCCGCAATGACTACAGAGTTCGGGGTTCCGCACTTTGTGGGACCGCGGCACCCTCCATCCCCGATCCCGGACACACTAATTCACCTGCCCCATCCAGAAACAGCAAACTTAAGGCACCCCCCCTCCCCACACCGGCGTCTCGCGCGCTCTTGCGGACCTGTCCGTGCCCCCAGTGGCACCACGCCGCGGGTTGCCCTTTGCAGCCACCGGACTCCCAGGGCTGCAGCCCCGGCCGCCGCCATCTTCACCTTCTCAGCCGTTCACCGTGCGCATGCGCAAAGGCGACTCACCGTGGCTGAGCGGGGCCAAACGCGACCGGTAAAGCCAGAGCAGAGGTTTCCTGGGTCAAGCTCTGGAGCCTGGGCGGTGAGCGGATGGCAAGGAGAGAAAACAAAGCTACTTCTTATTTGCTCTTTCAAGTCGTGGTGTTCCTTTCCTTTCCGCCTTCAGCTGGCTGAGGCCCTTTCAGGCGAGCTCCCACCGAACATTTCAGACAATCGACCATAGTAAAATCAGCTTACCCTTTCCTCAAACTTGTCTCCCCTCTCCCTCCCCCCACCATCGACGTTTCTGCCTTCGTCCTCACGCATAGTCGTTTTTCAAATTTTCCAAGTCGGCTGATCTCTTTTCTTAGATGCTCGGAGTTAGATCCTTAGTCGCAATTCATCTAAACGTCCCACTCACCTCACCCCCAACAAATATAAAACCAAACCTTTTACCAGAGGCGGCTCTCCTGACACTGCCCCAAACCTGCCATCTGCCAGGAAAAACAGATTTCAAACCGAACACAATTAACAAACTCTTAACACAGTAGCCTGGGAGACATGTTTGCACACTATTAAGTTTTCATTTTACTTACTCAAGTAGGGTTTGATATTTCACACATATTTCTATCAACTCTTAGGACAAAAATCACTGGAATAGAATCTGTTCTTAAATGTTTACCAGAGCGGCAAACACAGACATACATATAGTATTCAACGTATAAATTTGGGGAGAATTACTGCAATGCATTTTGTCCTCTTGTAGAGTCGATAGACATCATCAGAATTAATTTGGCAATATCTGCATTTAATTAATAGCAAGCCCTGATCTCATGTGGCTCAAGAAACAAACCCAATCTAAGGTATTTTTTTTGTTTAGGATGTCATTTATAAACAATATAATTTATTCTTTTTTAAAAGAAAATCCTCTGTGTGTATGGGTGTTTTTGCCTACATGTGTATTTGTATAACTTATGTGTCAAGTGCTGGAGGATGCCAAAGAGGGCATCAGATCCCTAGAACTGGAGTTAGAAGGGATCCAGACTTACTGTGGATTGTTGGCCCTCATGCGGGTGTTGGGAATTGAACGCTGGTCCTGGTCCTCTGTCATCTGGAAGAGCAGCCAGTACTCATAACCTTTGAGACAGCTCTCCAGCCCCACAATGTTGAAAGAATACAACAAGCTTCACATGATGGTGTGTACCTTTTGTAATGTCAACACTTGAGTTGCGCAGGCAGATGAATCAGGAGTTCAAGGCCAGCCTGAGCTACATAATGAGTTTAAGGCAAGTCTGAGCTACACGAGACTCTGTCTTAAAAACAAAAGAAGTGTATAGTGATATTTAATGCACATTACAAAGGTGTGTAACCAGCATTTCGATCTAATTCTAAAACATTGTCTCATACCAATTAGCGTATTTCCTCTATTCCCACATGTTAGCAACCACTAACCCACTTTCTGTTTCTATTCATATGCCTAACCTGTATACTTATAGAAATGCAATCATATAATTTATGGCCTTTGTGTCTACTTTCAAATAATGCGACTGCATTGTAACATGTATTAATATTCCATTTGTATGGCTAAATGATAGTCTGTTGTGTGGATATACAGCATTTTATATATTTATCAATTAATGAACATTTGGGTTGTTTTCACTTTGGGGCTATTGTGAATAATGCTACAATAAATTTTCTTGTACAGGTTTTTCTGAGTTTACATAGTATATTTTCTTTTTTCTTGATTTGTGGGTTTGTTTTGCTTTTGGGTCTTGTTCTCTGGCTTCTTGAGGCAAGGTTTCACTCTGTAACTCAAGCTTTCCTTGAACTCACTCTGAAGCCCTGAGTGGCCTCAAATTTGAGACCCTCCTGCCCTGGCCTACCAAGTGCTGGGATTACAGGGATGCAACATCTCACCAAGCTTGGATGTATGTTTTCAATTCTGTTGGCTTTGTCCTAAAAAAATAGATTTGCACAGTCATAGGATGTCTTGTATGATTTTTTTTCTAAAAAACTCCCAGATGTTTTTTTCAAAGTAGTTGCACCTGTTCTAACCCATCCATACCCACCCACCCCAGGTGTCTTTTTGTCTTGGTCAACACTTGCTACTTTGTTTTCTGTTAAAACCAGCCTTGTGGGCATGGATGGCATCTTTCTTGCCCTGTTTGGAGACTAGGAACTTTTTAAAAGTGAGTTCTATCTTTTTATTTTTTCAGTTCTGCATGCTGAGAGATCCGAGGTTAAAGGGTCGACACTGATATGTTATTGGGTGGCAAAAGGCAGGAGGTGAAGGGCCAGGGATCGCATGCAAAAGCATCAGTTGAACTCCCAACCTCAAGCCTCCTATAGTAAGGGTAACTCATTCATGAAGGTTAGTGTAACCTCAACTACTCCCACTTAGCTTTGCTTCTCAACACTTACATTGGGGGTTAAATTTCCAGTACATGCTGTTTTAGAGCAACACAAGCAAATGATAGCAGTATCTCGTTTTCATTTGCTTAACTTTGATGACATGTAGCAAAGAGAATAAAAAAAATAAAGATAAAAGGGGAGAAATAGCTAAGCAGTGGTGGCACATGCCTTTCTCTCTACAGCCTCATGTAGATCAGGCTTCCCTTGAACTTGCTATATACCTGAGGATGACCTTGAACTTCTGACCTCCTGCCTCTCCTTCCAAAGCACTGGGGTCGTAGGCATGCACTATCATGTTCATATGGTGCTTGGCAGCAAACCCAGGACTTGGTGCGTGCTACCAAGCACTCTACCAACTGAGATATGTCACCATTCCTGTCTTTTTCTGTCTCAATGAAGTTCTTTGGAATTCTGCTTTATTATGAAAAATATCATGTTAAAGTCTCCCAAAAGGTTCTACTGTGAATATTAAGATGACCATGTGGTATTTTTTCTATTAATAGATTATATTGATTAACATTTCAAATGTCAAATAAACCAGGCATTCAAAAAACATCCATTTTGTTATGGTGCCCAAACCTTTCTGTATGGTATGAGATTTATTTTGCTGGGAACTTTTGTATGTGTATTCATAAGGGATGTTGACCTGCTTTTATTTAACTGTGTTTATCTCATTTTAGTATCTGGTAATGCTGATCTCATGGAATGAATTTGGAAGTCTCCCCTCCTCCTATGCTCCTGAGGATTGTTAGTAGTATTGCTTTAGGTATTTGGTAGGATTCATCAATGAATCCATATTGTTTTAGGGTTTTTTATATGGGATTTGAATTTTTCCTAATGTGGTTTTGATATGAGTCATTAGATTTTTCTATTTCTTTTTGAATTAGTCACTATAGTTTGTGTTTTTACAGGAATTCCTCTGTTTCATCTAGATTCTCTATTTTTTACATACACTTGTTTATAGTATTGTATATATTCCTTTATATAGTTGTGAGGTCCACATTATGTTCCTGCATTCATTCCTAATTTTAGTGATATTAACTTCTAGGTCTGACTTATTTTTAATTTCCAGTGTTATAAATGGATGTATTTGGAAAATTCAAACATTGCAGATAAAGCCTTGACTGCTGTCAAACCCCTTCGCAGAGATGTTATCAGTTGGTTACATTATAGTTACTATCATTAGGACAGTGTATTCATTTCTATTGCTGCATACTAAGTTAAACTCTGTTTTAGTGTTCTTTAAACAAGTCATAAATTGGTAGCCCAAACAATACCAACTTATTATCTCATATTTCCCAGGGCCCCACTGCTCTGAAATCAGGGTGTTCCCCATGTCATCTGAGGTTCTATATGAATTTGTAAGACTTGTTCCTCACTTTATTGTTAGTCTTTCTCAGCTTGTGAAGAACTCACCTGCCACTCTGACACGTGGCATATATGGTCCTTCAAGGCAATCCAGACGGCATGTGCTTTGATGTCAAATCTTCAAGACTTCTTTTTCTGACCCATAAGTCCAGACTTGAAGGGCTAGAGAGACAATGTCAGCCCTACTCAAGATAGGTCTCCATTTTGATGATCTTGAGAGTGATTGGTTAGGGACTTTGACTACATCTTTGTCATGTAATGCAACCTAATTATAGGAGCACCACCCTGTCATATTCACAGGTCCTGCTGACATTTAAGGGCAAAGACTTAAATAGGACATATATACCATTGAGTGCAAATCTTGGCCTTCCGTAGGCATACATTTGAACTATCTAGGAAGCAAGCAAAGCAATGGTCTTTTATATTATTTATTTATTTATGGGGGGCGGACGAGACAGGGTTTCTCCGTGGCTTTGGAAGCCATACTGGAACTAGCTCTTGTAGACCAAGCTGGTTTTGAACTCACAGAGATCTGCCTGCCTCTGCCTCCTGAGTGTTAGGATTGAAGGCGTGTGCCACCACCACCTGGCTGATGTGGTCTTTTATAACTAGTATATTTGTTTAAAAATGTGCATGTCTGTGGTTGAATAACATTGGTCTCATTGCAAGAATAGATTTAAGTAGGAGAGATAGCTACATGTGCAAAAAACTCAAATGATACTAAATAAAAGAATTCTTTCCTTGGTTTTGTTTTATTTTTTATTTTTTTAAGAGATGGTGGGTTGCCATGTTGCCCAGGCTGGCTCTGAACTCTCTTGATCTTGCTTCCAGCTTCAGCCTCTGGAGTAGCTGGAACTATAAGCCCTTGATCCTCCCTTGACTCTGAATGAATTCAGCTCGTTATTAATCATCTACCTAAGCTTTCAGGATAGCTTTAACCAAGATCTATGTGATAATGAGAGTCAAGTTTGTTAGTCTCATTATTATTTTTAATATTTTGTCAATTATTTGTTAAGCCCTTTTATGAGGAACTAATCGGGTAGGTCAATGGTAGAGCCCAGGCTGTGGAGCTGCGGGTCACCGTCCGGGAGAGCTCCTTCAACCCAGGGCCCCACCTTCTTAAAGGGTATGGACCGAGTCTCTCGCAGTTCATCTCTATGGTGTGCGTTGTGGTTGCTTCCGGAAAGGGTGGAGCTTCCGCTTCCGCCGGGGCCGTCCCTAGAGCAGAGATGGCGGCGACAGCGGCAGAGGATACAGCCTGTGGCTCTGGAGAGCCCCGGGAAGAGGCGGGAGCTCCAGGTCCCGCCTGGGATGAGTCCCAACTACGAAGTTACAGCTTCCCGACCCGGCCCATCCCACGTCTGAGCCAGAGCGACCCTCGAGCGGAAGAGCTCATCGAAAATGAGGTGGGGGGCGGGGCTGCTGCTGGAGGGGTGGAGGGAGGGGCCCAGTTAGTGGGAGAGGTGGGAAGCTGGCGGGGCTGTGGACGGGAGGAAAGAGAGATGGAGAAATTGTTGTGAACTTGACAAGTACAAATATCGTCGAAAAGAAATGATTAACTCCTCGGAAGTCCTGATTTTTCCGATGTTTTTGCTTAGGAGCCTGTGGTCCTGACCGACACAAACCTTGTGTATCCCGCTCTGAAGTGGGACCTAGAATACCTGCAAGAGAATATTGGCAACGGGGATTTCTCTGTCTACAGTGCCAGCACCCATAAGTTCCTGTACTATGATGAAAAGAAGATGGCTAATTTCCAGAACTTTAAGCCCAGGTCCAGCAGGGAGGAAATTAAATTTCATGAGTTCGTTGAGAAACTACAGGATATACAGCAGCGAGGGGGAGAAGAGCGGTGAGTTGCCCGGTCGGTAGGGTTAGGGCATCCACTCACTTGTTTGAAGGTGTGGTGGAATTGGATAAGAAGGGATTGGCAGCATCTGGGCGCCATTGCTGAACGAATGACTAGGCTGCTCTACTATCCTGTAAGGGCTTTCAGTTCTTGGTGGTTCTTTCTAGACGCTTGAGGGATGAGGATAGTATTAGCCTTGAACAGTGACTCTAATTCCTTGCCTTAGGTAGTTCGAGTGACACTTCTGCCAAGTGGTCTTGGGAATAAACTCATGTTGGGACTGAGTACCCTTCCTCACTGAACCACCTCACTGGCCCAGACAAATAAAAATCTATTCGCTTAGGTAATTGCTGCTGACAGGACATCAGAAAGAGAATCAAGATAGCAGGCTATAGAGAACTCCAGGCATGGCCACCAAATGTAGGACAGTCATTCACTAGTAAGCACTGAGCAAAAGAAATTCTCCAGGGGCAATTTTACAATGTGGGACTGACTAGAACCTAGAGAACTGGGCTGTCCTCAGAAGTGGAAATAAAAACAAAGAAGAAGAGAGAGTCACTCTCCTAAATGAGTTTTGGTCACTGGTTCAAAACAAGCCATCTGTTCTGATCTTCCCAAAGCTAAAGGATACTGATATCCCTTAACTCCAAATCATAAAAAAAACTACTTAACCCAGACTGTATTCTAGAACCAAGACTGCAAACTGTCAATTTCAGAGCTAAATCCAACAAGCAATTATTGTCTCTGTCTGTCTCTCTGTCTCTCTGTCTCTGTGTGTGTGTGTGTGTTTTAAAAGTCAGAAGCAGGGCTGCATGGCTCAGTGGTTAAGACCACTGGCTGCTCTTCCAGAGGTCCTGAGTTCAATTCCCAGCAACTATAAGATATCTCACAACCGTTTATAACAGGAGCTGATGCCCTCTTCCAGACCGTAGACACACATGCAGAGCACTCCTACATAAAATAAAATACAAAGGCCAGGAGGGCTGGAGACATGGCTCCAGAAGAAGAGAATCAGTTCCCACAAGCTGTCCTCTGACCTCCATGTATGCTGTGAAATATTTGAGCTTTTATTATTATTCAACTGTAATAGAAATATTGTTTACATTCATTTCTGGAAGTGTCTCTAACTTTTCTTTTCTAATATGTATGTTATAACTAGACATGCCCGTAATCACAGCACTCAGGAAGTAGAGGCAGAAAAATCAGGATTTCAAGGCCAGCCTCTGATATTGTGAGACAGTCTTGAAGGCTCTTTGTAGCTAGTTTTTCCAAATTACTGAGATTTCTAATTAATTTTGCCATAACTGTTAGGTAGGATTTAAGGCAGTAACGTCCCTTACTTTTCCCTCTCATGTATGTTTGTTTGGGTCACATCATCCTGTTGATTCTGGGACACAAATTGTCCCAGTAGTTACAATCTAGAATCTTGCAGCTGGATGTAGCAAAGGGGAAAATGGTAATGTGAAGTGTTTTCTTAAATTTATTCTTGGAAGCAACACAAGTCCCTCTGTGGGCATTTCATTGGTTAAAGCAAGTTAAATAAGACTGTCTTAAGTGGCCACCAAAGAGTTAACTTTTCACAAAGAAGGAGAGTGTTAGAATCAACCACAGTGGTCATCAAGGGCCAAAGGAGATAAGCCTGGTCTGGAGAGTCTGAAAGAAAGCAGATTCAGTATAGACTGTGTAGATAGGCTTCCAGGAAACTAAATTTTATGGTATTTCCTTGTGTGTGCACATTCTTATATGAAGCCTTGAATTCTTAGGCAATCTGTACTGAGCCAGTAGGTTAAGAAACGAATCTTTAAAGAACTTGTTGTGGAGCAGAGCCCAGACAGGGAGAAAGAATTCAGCTCTGTGAATCCGTGTTGAAGTCTTGCATGACTACAGCTGTTCCCTGTTGTGGATGTTAGTAACAGATTTGGGTTTCCAGATGTAGAGTTCATACAAGTTTGTGATCCTTCACACTGATGGAATTTTTTTCTTGGGGAATGTAGGCTGTATCTGCAGCAGACGCTCAATGACACCGTGGGGAGGAAGATTGTCATGGACTTCTTGGGTTTTAACTGGAACTGGATTAATAAGCAACAGGGAAAACGTGGCTGGGGGCAGCTGACCTCTAACCTGCTGCTCATCGGCATGGAAGGTAAGAAGTGCTTCTGGGAGCATGGCCTCATCCTGCAGACCTGACCTGACCCTTCTCTCCGCTTACTAGCTCCATGACTTTAAACAAGTCACTGAACCTGTTAAGGCCACAGCTCCCTCATCTGCTAAGGAACAAGCTAGACCTTAATAGCTGCCATAGTTAAATGAGATAAGTATATTTTAAGTTTCTTGGGTAGTGTCATGCAGTTTTTTTTTGTTGTTGTTTTTTTTGTTTTTTTTGGTTTTTCGAGACTGTTTCTCTGTGGCTTTAGAGGCTGTCCTGGAACTCGCTTGGTAGTCCAGGCTGGTCTCGAACTCACAGAGATCCACCTGCCTCTGCCTCCCGAGTGCTGGGATTAAAGGCGTGCGCCGCCAACGCCCGGCTGTGTCATGCAGTTTTAAGACAGTTCTTTTCCTTTCTTGATGGGCAGTGGTGGTGCACGCCTTTAATCCCAGCTTTTGGAGGCAGAGGCAGGTACATCTCTGTGAGTGTGAGGCCAGCCTGGTCTACAGAGTGAGTTCCAAGACAAACCCTGTCTTGGAAAACAAAACAAAACAAAATGTTCTTTTCCTTTCTCAGTTGCTGTGTGAGATAGTGAGGCCTCCTTGAAATGTCACGGCTTCTCAGTATACTGAGATTTTAGTCCTTTAAAAATGGAAACTTTTTTTTTTAAGACAGGTTCTCACTATGTAGCTCTGACTGTCCTAGAACTCACTATAGACCAGGCTGGCCTCCCAACTCACAGAGATCCACCTGCTTCTGCCTTCTGAGTTCTGAGATTAAAGGCATGTGCCACCATGCTTGAAAGAAACTATTTTAATATGGTAAAACTTTATCTCTTAAATACATACTTATGGGATTCAAAATTGAAAGGATACAAATAGGTTTTGGCCATCTGTCTCCTCCCCTCACTCCCGGGTTATCAGTTCCTGTCTCTAGCGGCACTTCATAGGATACTAGTTTGTGTGTCTTGCTAGGGAACTTTATATTTACATAAGTAAATATGTTGTGATTTTTTAATGGTTTTTAAATTTGTAATTTTATGTGTATGAATGTTTCGCCTACATGTATGTATGTGTACCATCTGTGTGCCTGGTGCATCAGAAAGGGGCAGTGGGTCCCCTCAAACTGCAGTTAGGATGGTTATAAGTCGCTATGTGGGTGCTAGGAATCAAACCCTGGTCCTCTACCAAAAGAACAAGTGCCACCCCTCTAGCCCCTTGTCTTTTGTTTTGAGTGGAAAGAGTGTGTGAGTGCTGCTCAGGAGAAGGGACACTACTTGCAGGGCAGGGTGGTTATGTTTTCATTTCCACTACCAGCTGTGTGACAAGTGGTGTGTAAACATGGTTGAACAAAGAAACAGTAATTACTTGATGTCATTGACCTAATTGAGCCGTCAGTCTTCTTTCATTGGTGTTTCCTCAGGTCTGGATGATTGATAACATAGCAAACAGGCTCCCACAGCTTATGAGTTGACAATTACTGTTCTTGGCTTTTCAGAAAGAATACAACTCTGGTTTCCTTGACTCTGGGTTAATCCTGTTGCTTTCCTTTCCTGTGGTCAGGTGCCAGGAAGCAGATGCCTCTGGTAGAGATGTGAGGCCTCATTTGTTTGAAGGAGCACTTGGACTGGTGGCAGTAGGAAGACAGTTGTTTTGGCATATTTGGCTGGCTTGCAGCATGTTGTGTTGTGTTTTGTTTGTGACAGGGTTTCACTGTGTACCCCAGGTTGGCCCATGTAGCTCAGGTAGCCTCACACTCACAGCAGTCCTTCTGCACAGCCTCCCTAGTGCTGGGATTACAGGCATGCACCACCACGTTCATCTGGGAATGGTTTTTAAATGAGGTGATACAGATGTGACCCTAGTTATGCAGGAATAGATGAAGTGTGCATTGGAGCAGAGCTAATTCAAGGCAGCAATGTGTGCATGTGTGTATTTATATTGAAACTTGTGGTGCTGGCACTTGAACATCGGCCCTGTGCTTGTTGGGCAAGTGCTATGCCATTGAGCCATCTGAGCCGTTTTAAAAACATTTTCATGTTGAATCAGGGTCTCATTAAATTGCCCATGCTAGCCTTGAAATTTTGATCCTCCTGCTTTAAACTCTTAAGTAGCTGGAATTATAGGTTTGCACTACAATGCCTAGTCAAGGTGACATTCTAAGCAATGTCTCTTAAATTCTATGACCCTTTCTTCAGTAATTTGGATAGACCAGGCGGTGGTGGCACACTCCTTTATCCCAGCACTTGGGAGGCAGAGGCGGGTCTCTGTGAGTTCCAGACCAAACTGGTCTACAAGACCTAGTTCCAGGACAGCCTCCAAAGCCACAGAGAAACCCCGTCTCGAAACTACTCCCCCCAAAAAAACCTTCCTGTCACTGAGAGTCAGCAGCCTCAGTGAGCCCCAGTGTTGCTCTGAGCGATGCTGTGCCCCATAGGTGTGGTGAAGCGAGAAGAGCAGCTGAGAATCTTTGGGCTCCAGAAGAGCTCCCTGAAGCAAGAGCGTATTCCTAGAACCCAAAGTCACTAGTTAACGCCTCAGAGTAGATCATGTGCACTGCTGGTACCAATCATGTCAGTCCTTTCTCAGTGTCTCAGTGCCCTTGGTTTCTTGTCATAGTTAGGAAGAGAAGCTTGTCGCCTGCCAGACTTGTTTAGTGAGCTCTTGCTGCCAATCAGGATGTCAGCCGCCATTGAAGACAGTCTGCTAACTGATGATGGATCTTACCCAGCAATGGTTGCTAGAATTTACTGCTCATAAAATACGACATCTGCTTTACTAAGAGTTGAAATTGCAATTTCCTTATCCTGTTTCAGATTTACTTTAACTTTTAGCTGGGGAAACATCTAGACTTCACTCCAGCACTAGGCTCTACCTGTGTTTCACCTGTGCAGTAGAGCCACTACTTCAGCTCAGGAAATGTCTTCTTTCTTACAGGAAATGTGACACCAGCTCACTATGATGAGCAACAGAACTTCTTTGCCCAGATAAAAGGCCATAAGCGATGCATCTTATTCCCTCCAGATCAGTTTGAGTGCCTCTATCCATATCCTGTTCATCATCCCTGTGACAGGCAGAGCCAGGTGAGCCTATGTCTGAAGAGGGTGTAGAACTCCAGGTTCTAAAAATGCCTTTGAGATCAGAGGCTGGAATACTAGTCATTCTCTTTGGGAGTATGTCAGGTCTGCATTTCTGGCTGGTCTTGCCTTACAAACAAGTCCAGAGAGTAATTTCACAGTGTAGCCTACATGTTCCCGGCTCCTGTGATGACCCCCAGACATTTGTAAGTAAAAGCAGAGCTAATTGTTGGGGGGCAAACTCCATCATTAATGTTGGTAGACACAGATTACTTAATTTGATTTTTTTTGTCTCAGTTTCATCAAAATATGAATGCCTCCACTGACTTTAATAATTGTTTTCTTTTATCATGTATGCTACTACTTTTTGATAGGGAGATAGGTAAATAAATTTTTTTCTGTGTCTGAGTGTTTTGCCTGCATGTGTATATGTGCACCATGTGCATGCCTGGTGCTGTGGAGGTCAGAAGAGGACGTTGGATACCCTGGAACTGGAGTTACAGATGTTGTGAGGCCACAGTGTGGGTGCTGGGAACCAAACCTGGGTCCTCTGCAAAAGCAACAAGTGCTCTTAACTGCTGAGCCGTCTCTCCAGCTCCCAACATCTCTTCCTGAGGAGACAGATGCCTTGCTCCTTCATGTAGAAGTCTCCTGGTCAGGATTTGTTTGGGAGAAAACGTTTGGACAGGTTTGGGTGACATGATCCTAACTCCTCATATCCTAAGGCTTTTGAGGAGTTCTTCAGAGCTCAGGAGCACTGAAGTCTAGAATTACTTAGGGTGTAACAAATGAGCATAGACTCCCTTAAGTTGTTCTCTGAGAGGGGCAGTTAATATCCATTGTATCTTCTGCGTACAAACTCTGAAGTTACTTTTTCAGTCTCTCTCTTTTCTTTAAGCTGCCACAGCAAGCTTTAACTGATCTTTTTTCTTTCTCTTGACCCTTAGGTGGACTTTGACAATCCTGACTACGAGAGTTTCCCTAACTTCCGAAATGTGGTTGGTTATGAAACAGTGGTTGGCCCTGGTGATGTTCTTTACATCCCAATGTACTGGTGAGGAGGCTAGGGATGGGGGCCTCTTGGGAATACTTTCTTTCCTGGTCCCAGAAAGCTTTATCTATGTCCCTTCTCAGTTGTGGGATTAGCCTGCAGGAAGATTAGCATGTCCAGACATAAGCATACTAAGCATAGAGGACAACTCTGTCTCTTAGGAAAGGAAGACAATTGCTCAAATGGAAAGAGATCTGTAGTTTCTGTATCCACCTCTTCAGTATTTGGAGACTGAACGCCACAGCCTCTGGACCACTGTGTGTTTTACAGGATGAGCATAAAGCTCCTCTTTCACTGTTCCTTAGCTAGGCTGTGTTAGTTTTCCATCCTTGTCTAGAATGTAAACAGGAAACTTTTTCTTTTCTTTTTAATAGGTGGCACCACATAGAGTCATTACTAAATGGGGGAATTACCATCACTGTGAACTTCTGGTATAAGGTGAATATTAGTGTGTTTTGTTGTTATTATTGTTGATACACACATGCACACTCACAGACATAGGCATTTATTTTATTTGTGTATGTATCCATATGGAATGGGCTGGGGTGAAGTGGGTATAGTGTAGTAAGTGGTTTTGGCTGGGATGAGGTTATGGGTTATCCCTGGAAGTGATTTGCACAGAGATGGAGAAGAATACAATTAAACTGTTTTTTTAGAAGGAAATATGGTGCTAGAACTAAAAACCTGTGTTAAAGGTCTTTCCTGAGCTACTGCTTCCTTTGTAGGGGGCTCCTACCCCTAAGAGAATTGAATATCCTCTCAAAGCTCATCAGAAAGTAGCCATCATGAGAAACATTGAGAAGATGCTTGGAGAGGCCTTGGGAAATCCACAAGAGGTAAGGGCTAGTGATGTTCTCTGGTGCTCAGGGTTGGTGACATTCTCTGGAGCTCCCCTTGTCTCAGTGACGCTTTCTCTTCACAGACTTTATTTGTATATTTAGGAAATGTTGTTTTCTGATGAGAGCTGGGCTTGATTGGCGGATCCATTATGATCTGTTCCATGCTAGTAGTAATGTCTGCCTTGGGGCGTGTGTGCCATCTGGGGGCCCCTGAGAGGATTCGTCTGGAATAGGAAGTGTGCAATAAAGCGTCTTCTTGTGCACTCCCAGCTGAGTCAGGACTGCTCTAAGTAGTGTTGAGCACTGCCTCTCACCCAGGTATATCACTGGTCCATTGGGTAAAAGAAGGAGGTTTGAATTTTACTTGTCTTACCTCCTTCCAATGGTTAGCCTCAACATCAGAGATGCCTAAGTGGTTGAGAGCACCAAGACTCACTGCAGGTGGCCTTTTGTTAGAGTGGAGAACCATTTAAAATTTTTGATACATTGGAGAAACATGCAGACACACTTTGAGGTGTTTGGGGCTTATTGGCTCCTAGGATCATATTCTGTCTGATGGGTGTTGTTTGTAGATATATAGGGTATTGTAAAAGGGAAGGGAAATAAACTGGACCTCCAAAGGGTCATGCCCTAGAATACTAAGTTGACATTCAGGAAACTTGTTTAGAACATTCACAAGGTCCAGTGATCACTTGTCCTTGTCCATGACTGAGTATTGGATGTCTCCAGGCACATTTAGTCTTACTCTAGGATCAGAAGACAGGCAGTTCTGATGGGCTCCTCATATCTCTTTACAGGTGGGGCCTTTGTTGAACACCATGATTAAAGGCCGTTACAACTAACCTGCCAGAGGTCAAGGCCTCCTGCCAGGTGACTGCTATCTCGTCCACATGCTTCGTTGATGAGGACAGGACACTCCAAGCACTAGTATTGCACGCTGCACTTAATGGACTGGACTCTTGCCATGGCCCTGGAGGCAGGTGTTTGGGGCGAGGCAGGGTAGTTGACTCCATTCCCATTTGGAAAGATTTCTCACCCTTGCCTCTTGAGCTCCAGAACCTTCCCTCTTCGCCCCCCCTAAAGTCCTGCATTCAGTGTGTGGAGTCCCAGCTTCTGGTTGTCATGTCTGTGTTAGTCTGTCAACCTCAGGGTGTGTGTGTGTACATGTGTGCATATGCATGTGTATACACACACATGCATGTGTCTGTTTCTTGGGTCAGGGTATCACTCTGGCTCTCAGCTCCTGTCTCCTGAAGCCTCAGTGCCTCAGCCTGAGAGAGGAGATGCTCCTGTTTCCCTCCTTCATCTGGGTTGTGGTGCCAGAGTGAATCTGCTCATCAGTCCGTCTTCTGCCAGTTTTTGCAGCATAGTCAGGCTACAGGCCAGGTAGCAACAGCTGCTGGGTCCCTTTGGGACGTTGAGAAGGAGGCTTGTCTTTGGGAGACTAGATAGCCTTCTGGTGGAAGAGGATTAGATAGGGGTCCGGTTGAGAACTGTAAACTCAAGCCATACATAGAAGGAACCCTTGGGACCCTAAGAACAGAGGAGTATGCATGTTCCAAATCACAGACACATGCAGCTGTTCTGTCAGTACCAGCTCTTGCCCCTGTGCTAGACACGGAGGGAGTTCTAGCTCTAACTTCTTTGGGCTCCAGGGGTATGAACCTCTGCATGTGTGTGTACATCTGTGCACACCTGTGTGTGTGTGTGTGTTCACACTTGCCATCCTTCTTGCTTACCAAGGTTCTCTACTGCTTACCTTGTCCAATGTGACAGTGCAGTGTGAACCCCAGACACTGCCTGACTTAGCCTATAGCTTTTAAACTCGGATTTTAGCCATCCTACCTTGGTCAGATCTCACTGCAGCCTACCTAAAGCTGACTGGCTTGAGCCTCCAGGTCCTGTGTTTTTCCCTGTCCAGGCCACATCCCCTGATCCTGCTGAGCTTCCTGGCTGAGTAGATGAAATGGGATCAGACTTAGGCAGCTAACTCAATACCTTTCGTCCACCTCAGGGCAAGAGCGAACGTGTCCTCTTGCCTCTAGAGCCAGCGCCTCTGCCAGACCAGCATCACATCGCATGACGGCTCGAGTAGGACGGCTGGTAGAGCATGGGTAGGGTTTGCTTTTCCGTTAGTAGCCATTTATGGGAACCCTCTCAGGGCCGCAGCGCACAGCTGGGCAGCTCAATGTTACAACACAGAGTGCCATCGTTCACATCTGTTCAGAGGGAGTGGGGCCCTGTGTCACTTACCTCAGTTCCCTTCTCCATCATCTTTCTCTTTCAAATCTGAGTTGCAAGTCTAATTTTATTCACTTCTTCCCCACTGTTTTCTCCCATCCCCCTAAGTTTGACCTCTAGTGTCTGAGCTGTGGCTGTTAGCCCTGACGCTCAGCTTACAGTGCCCCCATGGACTGAGAAGATGCATGTGTATGCTTGTGCACACCTGTGTACGTATTTTGGAGAGGGGTCTTTAGTACCCCATTCTGGGGGCTTTGATTCAGTGTGATATGCAGACCTGGTCCCCTCTCAAGGATAGCTCTTCACATGCAGCCAGTGCTGGGCAGTGTGAGTGCAGCAGGCTCCGTGGCCTCCATCTCTGGGGAAAGAGGAGTTCGGCAAGAGCAAAGCAGAGCAAGATTAGTTTGGCCGTCAGTGCACTGTTTCATTCTCAGCAGACCTCCTGTGTTCCTGGCTCTGCCCTCAGAGGTGGTGGATGTGTAGCACAGAATCTGGGTCTACTTGGTTGATCCTTCAGGGTACAGGTCTGACCTAGGGTGTCTGGGGGCAAGGAGAACGAAAGTAAACTTTGGGGCCATCTCAGGATTGGTCTTGATGCCATTGTGACGTAATAGCCACCCCGATCTCAGACACCTGATGTGTGCCTGTTGCCTTCAGCTCTGTCCCTCACAATCACGCACGGTAGCTCTCACTTCACAGATGAAGAAACGACTCAGAGTAGATGAAGAGTGACAGTCAAGATCAAACCTAGTCTGGCTAGAAACCCCTACCCCTGCTCCTCCTCTGTTTCTTACAAATTCTATTGGTTCTCTACCTCTCCTGAGGTCTTGTTCCCTAGGCAGTGTGCAGGCAGACTCAGGCAAGTGGGTGTGGAAGGGTGAAAGTCTTTGGGGGCTCCAGCTAGGGACATGGAAACGCTGCCTGGAAAGCCTTCTTAGCAAGTGAAGCGTGCAGGGAACCACTGTAGAAGAGTGAGTTCCAGATCTGCTGGGGAGAGGGGTACTGTGTGCCCTTGGATTTAAGGCCCATAGCTCCTCTCAGTAGGCCTGTGCGTCAGAGTTGAAGTAGTTCCAGATCACTGGGTTTATGTCCTGCTGTGCCACTTGCTCCTGGGGATAAGATGCATGGTCTTCCCTCACCTAGGTTAGGGCTGTTGAGGCTCAGATTCTCCCTGCAGCATGGGAAGCCTTGCTGCTACAGTGTTTACCCCTTCTCACAGCAGCACGGGAGTCAGATGTGCCAAGGAAGGTGGAGACTTAGGGGTCAGCCATGCTGCAAGCTTCCATTTTTACACCAGCAGTACAGTGAAAACTGCTGTTTTGTGAAGTCAAATATTTGCTGGGGGGTTGGAGTTATGGGTGGAGGAGGGGCTGTTCAGGGCATCAGTTGAGCAGATGCCCAGGATGCCTGGGGGAGACCAGCTTCCCCTACAAATCAGAGCTCTAAATTACAAGGTTTTTACCAACGCGAACAGTTGGGGGAAGTCGTCTGCTCTCATTTGCGTAATGGTTTCTGTCACTGGTGATTAGACACAGGATGAAGGAAAAGAAATTTGACAATTAGGAATGAGCCATCATTAATCTGAATCTGTTAGGAGACAGAGAAGGGAAGGACCCTTACCAGTGGGCCATCCCAGTATGGGGAGACACTCCCTATCTCTGACCTGTAAAATCTTCTGGGCCAAGTACCCGTTTGGAGTCCCACAAGTGTGGGTGGAGCTTGCATGCCTTCACAGACTAGGAGTCCAATTCTAGCTTGAAGTGGATATAGAAAGACATCTTTCTGCATGAGCCAACCAAGTTCAGGATAGAAGAGTAAGTATTAAATACAAGCCCTAGGGCAAAGAATAACAGTAGGGTAGTTTTGATATGTGCTTACTATTATGGGAAATGTTTCAGTAATAATCAACGCTGCTGGTCTCCCAACTGTGAGAAGTATATGTCACATTCCAGCACTTCAGGTTGTGCAGGGAACCCGATCTTTTTCAAGCCCCAGGGACTTGTGGAAATGGAAAGGAAGTCCAGTGAAAGTAGCAGAGCTCGGACCTGCAAGGTGGGCCCTATTGTGAGGGAGAGGATGGGTACAGCTCTGGACTCCCGGGAAGAATGCCCCTTCAAGCCTCTCAGCTACGCTGGCTGTGGGGACATCAAGGTTCCTGGCTCAGACTAGTGACACAGTGACATAGCTAACTATTAATAAGGTGTAGAGAATCCAGCTTAGATCTTCCAATATCCTTGATTTACCTCAACATTCACTCTCTGTCCCTTCAAATGCCTAAGACAATACTAATCTGCACCGAGAAGTAGTCCTCATCGTTAGTGTGTTCCTCAGATCCCAGGCCCCCTCAAGGGTTGGGATAGGTCTCTGTCCCCTTTCATAATGTGAACTTCTCAAGGATGGTGCTATCTCACTCCTTGGTAAGTTCCCTACCTCTGTTGTCTTTCATTCTTCAAACTTGGTGCAGAATTAAGCAAGGGCTACCAGCAGTGACCCTCTGACCAGTTTTGCCTAGATGGGGTAGGTGTGGGGATGAGAGAAGTAACTCAGAGGTTCTAGAGACCCGGGCCTTTCTGGTTCCAACCTGTTTCTCTTGGTGTCCTCTTAATGCACCTCTGCGTGGGTGCTTGCTCCCACCCAGGCTTTCAGTGGCTTCTTTATCAAGGCTCTTTGCCTCAAAGAAGCCCTCTGCTGACATGTGCTGGACAGCTTGGCTCTAGGGTTCCTCTCCACAGGGCTCTCCCTGTTCCCTCTTCATTTCTGACCTCAGGGAGTCTGTTGACTTTTCCCTGGTTAGTCTGTTCTGTCTGCTCTGTCCTCTTGCTGTTCCTCTGTCTTTACATGCCAGCTCAGCTTGTCTCATTCTGGTGGTTCTTTCTGCTTGTCCTGTAGTTAGCTCTCTAATTAAAGATCCAGGGGGGTCCTGATTGGAGCCCAGCTGAGGACTTTGGGGACATTTCTGGAGGAGCAAAGGCTCAGAAACTGGTATCCTCAAGGCCCATGGGTCTGTTAGTGGTGATGCCTTGGAGACCATTGGGAGGAGCCTAGAGGGGTAAAGGACTTGGTGAGGAGAGACTGCTAGACAGAGGCCAGGTGGAGAACCAGGCTGGAAGGAGTGAACTTTGTGTTTCCATCTGAATGTGTTCTTGTGCCTTAGGGTCCAGCAGTTCAGGGATGAGAGACATTTTCTGAATGTCTCCTAATTTCTCTCAGGTCTTTGGCTCAGTGTCACCAAGTTTGACAGACTCCTGCGTTCCAGAGGTTGCTAGAAGGGAAGTAACATATTGAGTAGGCTGGTGTCTAGATTGGAGGCCTCCATGAGGAAGGCTGGAATTGTAGGGGAACAAGAGAAAGGAACCCAGTGGTCAGCTTATCGCCGGATGACACTGTTCCTCCAAGAGAATAAGTACAAGAACTGCTTCAAAAAAGTCAGCGTGAAGCTGCCCTCCCTCCTCCCTAAAGTCTGGTTTGGAGAAGGAATGTGTGTCCTTTAGCTTTCAAGGGGAAATGGTCTAGTTTTTAAAAGCATGTGTTTGGGGGGCTGATACCTTCGGTGCACATTTCTAGCTTGCTACTTACCAGCTGGGTTTGACCTCGGTTAATTCTTTTAACCTCTCTGAGTCTCAGTTTCCTTTATTATAATGACATGTGGGGGTGGGGGTTTGAAAATATCTACCTCAGGGTTGTTGGATTAACTGAAATGATGTCTGTAAACCTTTAGCACAGTGCCTGGCAAGCACTTAATAAATGGCTGTGGTGGTGGTTATAGTATGTGACTTATTTGAAAAACTTGGCTTCAGTGATGTGTAACGGATTTCCAGTGCCCCATCCTCTTGATACCTAACTCCATGGCTCTTCTGCCTGGTCAGCTAGACTCCTGCTCATAGCAGCCTGGGCCCTGGGGAGGTGCTTTCAGCTCTGAGCACCTCACAGACAGACTGTTGGAGTTCAGTGACTCCCCATTCCACTTGGAGAAGCTGTGGTCCCTCACATGCTGAGGCGCTACCATATGTGTGAGCACCCAACCCTGCTCAAACCAGTCTCTCCCTCTTGTTGGTCACTTCTGACTGTCACAGGTCCTGTCACCACTCACATCTAAATTCCTCAGTAAGAGTATGACACCTGAGACCCCTTTGCTTTACTTTTATGCCATTCAGTGTGTTTAAATGACAAGTGTATTAAGTGGCAGAAGGAGTTAAAATTGAGGAAATGGGTGGGTTTTATTTAATAGGTACTGTTTGTTAAGTGCTTTTCCCGGCATGGTGCTGGTCCGCTGTACTGAGTGCTCTCTCTTCAACAGGGAGTTAAAGATGCACAAGGACAGGCACGTGACTCAACTGGGGTACTCACTCCAGGGCAGGCCTTCTACAGGAAATGATACAGCCTAAGATAGTGCCTGGAAGATAAGTAGCTACCCAAGGGTTGCAGGAAAAATAGAAGGCATGTTTCCATGTTTCTGCCTGGGTTTCTCTTGCCTAGTCCACAGGGTTTGCCATGAATCCCTCCAGGCAAAGGGCCAGATGTAGGAACACAAAAAGAACAAAACCCTTTGGTTGGTTACAGAAATCTGAAAATCTGGTGGCTGGTCCACATTTGTTGTGAAGGGCAGATAGATTTGGAGTGTCCCACTCCTCACATACAGTGTAGTCTCTGAACGAGACCATGTGGAGAAGGTGTTGAACCAGGTTACTTAGGCTTCAGCCTGAGATATACTTGGCTGGGTGGGGTTCTCTGCACTACCCCAGCTTCTATCTCATGGTGCCAAACTTGAGAGGTTCCCCTCCACAGCCACTCAGCCTCTCAAGGCTCTGGCACTTGCCCCATGGGGGAAGGAAGATTCCGTATGCCAAGCCATCCCTCCGGGCCACAGGGCATGTGGAGTCACCTCTTTCTGTGTAACTCTGGCCCTGGGCCTTGGCTGTCTTCTGTATTGCACCAGTGGCATTTATTGGCTTATTCTGTTTGCTTAAGACCTATTCACTTGGTCATTAAGGTCAATCCTGTCTTTGAGGGAAGCACTTTACATTAACCCAAAATTGGGGTGTGTGTGTGTGGGGGGCTAGGTTTTTATTCCATTTGAGTATGCAGTGTGGAGTGGAGTGCAGGGGAGAGGTAGAAAATGAAGAGTGCATCCTGGGCCTGCCATTCTGCATGACTTTGGGGAAATGACAAACTGCCTGGACTTGACCTCTTCATTACTGCTCACTTTGTGAAAGTCACACAAAACAAGGTAGGTGAAGAAAGGTTTAGCCCGGGGATGATCATGGTGAGAGCTCAGCCGTCCTCAGCCTCCAGGGGTCAGCCTTCTGTCCTTCCCAGAGTCTACCTCTTCTCCGTCCAGCTTCCAGCTGAGGCCCTATGGCTGGCTAGTCTTAGTTTGCCTAGTTGTCCGCCCTTGAGCAGAGCACAGGTTCCTGCTCGAGGCTCCCTTCCCCTTGTCAGTGACTTCCAGCTTTAACACGGACCTTATCACCACTGCCATCTCTGGGCAGTGATTATATAGAATTCATATTCTATAACATGAAAATACAGAACTGTGATGTCAAAATACGTTAGACCTATCTTCCTCTCTCCAGGAATCAAGAGAATTGCGTAAAGGTTTTTATTAGCTGGTGACTGTAGTCAGGGATGGAAGGAGACACTGCAGTGTGTAGCCAGGGATGGAAGGAGACACTGCAGTGTGTAGTCAGGAATGAAGGAGACACTGCAGTGTGTAGCCAGGGATGGAAGGAGACACTGCAGTGTGTAGCCAGGGATGGAAGGAGACACTGCAGTGTGTAGTCAGGAATGAAGGAGACACTGCAGTGTGTAGTCAGGGATGGAAGGAGACACTGCAGTGTAGTCAGGGGTGAAGGAGACACTGCAGTGTGTAGTCAGGGATGAAGGAGACACTGCAGTGTGTAGTCAGGGATGAAGGAGACACTGCAGTGTGTAGTCAGGGATGGAAGGAGACACTGCAGTGTGTAGTCAGGGAAGAAGGAGACACTGCAGTGTGTAGTCAGGGATGAAGGAGACACTGCAGTGCAGTCAGGGATGGAAGGAGACACTGCAGTGTGTAGTCAGGGATGAAGGAGACACTGCAGTGTGTAGTCAGGGATGAAGGAGACACTGCAGTGTATAGTCAGGGATGAAGGATACACTGCAGTGTGTAGTCAGGGATGAAGGAGACACTGCAGTGTAATCAGGGATGGAAGGAGACACTGCAGTGTGTAGCCAGGGATGGAAGGAGACACTGCAGTGTGTAGTCAGGGAAGAAGGAGACACTGCAGTGTGTAGTCAGGGATGAAGGAGACACTGCAGTGTGTAGTCAGGGATGGAAGGAGACACTGCAGTGTGTAGTCAGGGATGAAGGAGACACTGCAGTGTGTAGTCAGGGATGAAGGAGACACTGCAGTGTGTAGTCAGGGATGAAGGAGACACTGCAGTGTGTAGTCAGGGATGGAGACACTGCAGTGTGTAGTCAGGGATGGAGACACTGCAATGTGTAGTCAGGAATGAAGGAGACACTGCAGTGTGTAGTCAGGAATGAAGGAGACACTGCAGTGTGTAGTCAGGGATGAAGGAGACACTGCAGTGTATAGTCAGGGATGAAGGATACACTGCAGTGTGTAGTCAGGGATGAAGGAGACACTGCAGTGTGTAGTCAGGGAAGAAGGAGACACTGCAGTGTAGCCAGGGATGGAAGGAGACACTGCAGTGTGTAGTCAGGGAAGAAGGAGACACTGCAGTGTGTAGTCAGGGATGAAGGAGACACTGCAGTGTGTAGTCAGGGATGGAAGGAGACACTGCAGTGTAGTCAGGGGTGAAGGAGACACTGCATTGTGTAGTCAGGGATGGAAGGAGACACTGCAGTGTGTAGTCAGGGATGAAGGAGACACTGCAGTGTGTAGTCAGGGATGAAGGAGACACTGCAGTGTGTAGTCAGGGATGGAGACACTGCAGTGTGTAGTCAGGGATGGAGACACTGCAATGTGTAGTCAGGAATGAAGGAGACACTGCAGTGTGTAGTCAGGGATGAAGGAGACACTGCAGTGTGTAGTCAGGGATGAAGGATACACTGCAGTGCAGTCAGGGATGGAGACACTGCAGTGTGTAGTCAGGGATGGAGACACTGCAGTGTGTAGCCAGGGATGAAGGAGACACTGCAGTGTAGTCAGGGATGGAAGGAGACTGCAGTGTGTAGTCAGGGATGGAAGGAGACACTGCAGTGTGTAGTCAGGGAAGAAGGAGACACTGCAGTGTGTAGTCAGGGAAGAAGGAGACACTGCAGTATGTAGTCAGGGATGGAGACACTGCAGTGTGTAATCAGGGATGGAGACACTGCAATGTGTAGTCAGGAATGAAGGAGACACTGCAGTGTAGTCAGGGGTGAAGGAGACACTGCAGTGTAGTCAGGGATGGAAGGAGACACTGCAGTGTGTAGTCAGGGATGAAGGATACACTGCAGTGTGTAGCCAGGGATGGAGACACTGCAGTGTGTAGTCAGGAATGAAGGAGACACTGCAATGTGTAGTCAGGGATGGAGACACTGCAGTGTGTAGTCAGGGATGGAAGGAGACACTGCAGTGTAGTCAGGGGTGAAGGAGACACTGCAGTGTGTAGCCAGGGATGAAGGATACACTGCAGTGTGTAGTCAGGGATGGAAGGAGACACTGCAGTGTGTAGTCAGGGATGGAAGGAGACACTGCAGTGTAGTCAGGGATGAAGGAGACACTGCAATGTGTAGTCAGGGATGGAGACACTGCAGTGTGTAGTCAGGGAAGAAGGAGACACTGCAGTGTGTAGTCAGGGAGGGAAGGAGACACTGCAGTGTGTCACAGTTGGCCACAGAAGTGCAAATCAGGTTGTCACCACTAGTTGTGCTAGTGTGCAGGCAGATCACCACAGGCTGGAAGGTGTTGCCTCTGCACATCTTTGAAATCTCACTTCTGTGAAACTGCAGTCAGTGTGGCCATTCTCACAAGGACTGCCATGGTGGACAATGTGGATGATTTGGACACAATCTATAAGTTTGAATCCCCACTTAGCCCCCTCCTAACTCTAAGCTCAGCTAAGGTAATGTCTCTGGGCCTCAGCATCTTCCTGGTGTGTCTGTAAAATCACAGGTAGCTTGCAACATTGAGGGGTTGTAAGACTAGCTACAGACCCAGCTCAGGGTGGCCACTTGGGGAATATGTTGATTCTGAAAACATGTTTTGCTGGTGCATGAAGGAAAATCTGCAGATAGCAGAGCTTTCCTGACCCTACCCTGATACTCCAGGTACAATTTCAAAGAAGTCACAGGCGAGGTGAAGAAGGCAAAATGAGAAGGGTAAGACGGTAGAGGGGGCTGGAAACCTGGGAGGCAGGGCTGCGGTCAAAGACGGTTCTGCTCAGACAAGATCTTGAGGAACAAGAATGGAGACCTGGACTGTGTTGCCGTGTCAGCTCCGGAACAGGAAGAGGGGCAAGAGGGTGCATGCGTGTGTTCTCCCAGCTCAGTGGGAAAAAGTGCAAGTTCAGGGGCAGTGACGAAAGCACAAGGTGGGTGACTGTGTAGTCTTGCTATGCCTTAGTCCTCCACCTTTATATTCATGAATACCACCACTATCTTCCGGAGTTGGTGAAAGTGTTCCATAAAATGAACACTGCAAACACTCCATCCTGAGTTGTTCCAGAGAGTGAGGATTATAGTTGGTCATAGTCATAGCTGGAAATCGGCAAGGCAGCATTTCCATCAAAATACTGTCATTCTGCCACATTTGACTGACTAGACTTTTCTTTAAG